CCCTTTGGCGTGACATGTACCGGCTGCGGAGCGGAGCTGGAGTGGTGGAGGGTATGCATCAGGCCAGCAGGCTATCTAAGGCGCCACCCAGCCTGGCCAGCGAGCTGACCTTCAGCGGCACGGCGCAGCGAGGAGTGCCTGTGGTGTCTCTCAATGTGGCGATGGCGGCGCAGCCCGGCGGCGGCAAGGCAGCCGTGCGCTGCGGCTGCCGCGGCGCCTGCACCCGGAACTGCAGCTGCAAGAAGAATGGTGCGCGGTGTGGGCGGCACTGTGGCTGTATAACCGGTAAGGGTGGCAATTGCAAGAACCATTGAAGAAGTGTGCCTTGTACGCTTTGCCGTCTCCGCTGGAAGGTGCTGCCGCCTGTGGCGGCTTCATATTTCCTGTTCATTTCTGTTGTTCGGTCTCTCTGTTCGTGTTGGTTGGCTTGTAAGAGTTGTATTTCTGACGCTAGAGAGGTGAGATGACAGCGGGAGCGTTGAAGCGTGCATGCCATCACGTGTGCAAGCAGCCCCGCTCCGCCCCGCTCAACCCTCAAACATGGCTCTATGGGGTCAGTTCACGTATGGGAGGGGAGCGCCGCGCGGGCTGCCAGGAGGGAGCGGGGGCGGGGGTTGCCCAATCGGGAGGGTGCCACATCAGGGGGCAACACATGGTCGCGCGCACAGCTCGAACTGAGCCCTTCCTGCTCCCCCCGCACCGTGTGCCACTGGGAAGGCGCCGGGGCAGCAGACCGCGGGATTTGTGGGTGGGTGGCGCCACCGCCCCCCGGCCGGGGCGGGCCTCTTCAGGAGGCGCCCTGAGCCCAGCTGGACAGAGAAGCTCACCCCATTTACCTCCTAATCAATGGAATTCTTCAACAGAGAACCTTCTAGGGCGGCTGCGCCTGTGGAAGCCTGCCCACATTTGAAAGCACCAGGGCTCCTCTTGTGTTACAGTCAAAAGTCTGTGCTGCAAGCTTGTTCTTGCTGAAACCAGACTGTAAGCCCACACAAGCAAGTCACCCCGCTATGATAGGCCGCGTGAGCAGACCTTGGGCAGGGGGCACACGTGGCTGGGCTGGTGGCTTGGCCTGCCACCGCCATCGCCGCGCGGCGATGTGGATGCCAGCCTGCAGATGGCCCTCCGTTAGATGATGCTGTGATGCTACATGATAGGTCACGCCCTCAGCCAGTTGCTGTGTCCACGCTCTTCTGCAGCTGACTCGTCACCAACCCACTTGCCACGCACCGCCTCGCCCCGATATCATACCAGTACTACCCCCACAAGCGCAACCTGCATACTCCCCCGCCTGCCTGCATCGGAGTCGGGCAGTGTGCTAAGCTGGTGTTACAGAGGGGCGGCAGGCGTCTGCCGAAAAAGAACAGCACAGAGCACTATGCGCTGCATGCCGTGCGTGCCGTGGTGCCCCGGCCAATCAACAAATCAGTGTTGCGTGCGCTTTGCAAGTACTGGACAGGAAAAGATACGCTGTGGCAAGCACCAGATGATGCCACAAAGAAGAATCGCAAGGAGGCACGCAGCCTAGGGATGCACGCGGTCATTAGCAAAAGACCAACTCTAACACTCTTATCAGGTTGTCTGCTGTACAGCTGGCAAAGCTGGCAAAGTTTGAGCAGAGGAGGCAGCAGAAAAAACAAAGAGGGAGCACGCCGACGCATCGGCAGGCGTGCCCAGACAAAAAGGTCGCATGCGCAGATAGAAGTCAAGACAGGGCGCCAGCATTGGCGCCCAGGCGCAGGCGCCATGCGAAATAGGCATGGCATCCTGGCTTGTTGTATTGAGCTGCCGACAAAATGGGTCTGAAACCCGGTTGTTGCACCCGCAAGCAAGCCGCACCAGAGAAAACATTAAAGACGCTGATATTGGTTGTGCTGCAGGCCTCCAGCCAGCTGATGCTGCACACTGCTGCCAGCAAAGGAAGCCGGCAGCACAGGCAGCTTCCTCGGTAGAGGAACGGAGCAGCAGTGGATAGTCGGTCGGTTGGGTGCATTGTAGCCAAAATGAGTTGAGTTTGAAAAGTGGTGTGGTGGTGCGGGAAGAGGGGGGAGAGGAAACATTTTGACAAACAAACCCGAATTCCCTTTTAAAGAGAAGCAGTGGCTTAAATATGGCTGCTGTATGGGGGGTTGGGTTCTGCGCATTTCTGACGTGCTGAAGTGGCATCAATATCGATGCTCAAAGGCTGTTGAGGAGCAGGGTCGGCCCAGGCTGCGCAATGAGGCAGAGCTGGGCGCTCACAGGGACAGGGACAAGGGACAAGGGACAAGGGAGACGACATGTGGGGGAAAGACCAGTATGGGTAGGGGAGAGGACACTGGCCCAGCGGCAGTCATGCTCGCCCGCCTGCTGCAGGCCTGCCCGGCCCTCAGGCACGCACACAACAGGTGCCCGGGGCCCGGCAGGAGCTGCAGGCAGGCGGGTGCAGCATGCCTAGCGTTCTGGAGGTCGCGTGCGTGGCGGCGGCTGCTCACGCGGTGGCTTGGGATGAAGGTGGTGGCAAGCAGTGGTGGCACTGGTACTGGTGCCAGCGCGGCACCGGTACTGGCGCCAGCCAGGTGTGCCCGCTCAAGAGTGGGCCAGCATCATCAAACAGGGGCGGCATGCGCATGTCCAGCATCTCAATCCTGCAGGAGCACAACCCAGGCAGGCAGGCGTGAGCAGCAGGGGGCGGCAAGCAAGCTGCAGCATCCGTTGGCAGGGTTGCGGGGCGGGCCGGCAAGGAGCAGAGTGAGGCAGCCATGCGGGCGCTCCCACGCTGCCAGCGCTCACGCTGTGTGCTCGTGGTGCCCCGGCAGCATAATGGTGTGCAGCTGCTCGTCCTCGTCGTCGGCGCCGCCAAAGCCGCCGCTGCCGTGCTCCAGCAGCAGCAGCGGCAGGCCCAGGTTGTGCTCCATCAGAGACTCCGCGGGCAGCATGGTGTCGGAGGCGGCGGCGGCGGGCAGCCAGTCGTGGGCAGACGGCGAGGCTGCAGGGGGGGGAGCGGGCACGGGAGCGGCGCGGCGCGGTCAGCGCTGGGAGGCTGGCGTTGCGGCGCACGAGCCATGACCACCCCGGCTGGCCAAGCAGAGGCCCTGCGTTTTGGCTGCGCTGTGCTGTGCTGTGCTGTGCTGTGCCGTGCCCACCTGGAGCCTCGATGGACGGCGACACATGCTCCTCCGCCTCCCTGGCAGCCGCCGGCGCGCAGCCCACGCTGGAGGGCGCTGCCGCCGACACCTCGCACCCGCTGCTGGCCTCCTGGTTGCTGGCGGCCAGCAGCTTGGCCTTGAGCTCGCGCAGCAGGCGCAGCTGGCGCTCGGCCTCCGCCTGCGCCGCCGCGTCACCGCTGCGCACAAAGCCGGCGGCGACGGCGGAGATGTCGGCGTGGCCCGCGGGCGCCAGCCAGTGCTCGGGCGGCTCGGGGCAGCCGCGGTTGCCCAGGGAATCCATCTCCAAGCTGCCAAAACGGCCCACGTGGAGGGCGCAGGAGCCCTGCGGGGGGTGGGAGCGGGGGAGGCTTGGGTGAGGGAGGCTGGTGTGAGGCAGGCGCAGGCGCCCGGGCGCGCCAGAGCAGCAGGCGCAAGCCAGGCAGCACGCCGCGACGAGCGCGCGGTCGGCACGGCGGGGGCGCGGCGGTACGATGAGGCGGTACGGCGGCGGCGGTATGATGAGGCGGTACCACGGCGGCGCACCTCGATGGAGTACACGTCGCCGTCGCCCAGCTGCTCCTGCTTGATGGTGGAGGAGCCGACGTGGCGCAGCCTGCCGCCGCTGCCGGCCTCGCCCGTGCTGCCCACGCTGCCGCACGCCAGCAGCGAGGCCTGGCTGGGCGACAGCTTCGGCGCCTCGGGCAGCTGGCGCGGCGGCGAGCGCCGCGGCGGCGTGCCCAGAGCGCCCGGCGCCAGCGGCCACGCCTCTGCCGCCCCGCTGTGCCCGCAGCTCTGCTGCTGCTGCTGCTGCTGCTGCTGCCGTGATTGCTGGCGGGCCAGCTGGCGCATGGAGGCGGGGCGCGCCTGGGACAGGGCACCGCTGCCGGGGCTGCCGGAAAGGGAGAGGCCGGGCAGGGGCGGGATGGGCAGGGGTATGTGGACAAGCAGGCTGGCGTGGCTTGAGGGCGAGGGCGTCTTGAGCTGCAGGCGTGGGATGGGCAGGAGAAGGGAGGAGCCAGTGGGGCCACGCGCGGGGGAGCGGGGACCTGGGCCAGCAGCCAGGCAGCGCGCTGGCACCAGCTGCAGGCTGCGGACAGGCAGCAGGGCCCTCACTCACCACCAGCTTGCGGCGGCTGGGCTGGGCCGCACTCTTGCGCACGCGCGGCGCGGCGGGCGCCCGCCCCGCCGCCTGGCCGCCAGCCTCGGGGCCCCACCCCTCCCAGTCGGCGGGCAGGCGGGCAGGCGCGCCTCCAGAGAGATGCGCGCCGCGCCGGTGGGCACGTCGTTGTTGGCCAGCACGCTGCGGGGCAGAGGGTGGCAGCAGCAGCAGGCAAGATGCAAGGCATCAGAGCACGGCGCAGAGGGGCACGCCGGCCAGGGCTGCAAGGGCTGCGCAAGCAGGGCTCACCGGATGGGTGGGCTGACGGCGGTGGTGAGCAGGCGTGTGCCCTGGCGGTTGTAGATTCCGGCCACGAGGCGGAAGGCAGCAGCGTCCACGTGCGTGCACGCCTCATCCAGCGACAGGTACATGTAGCGGGGGTCCTGTAATAACAGATGGCAAAACAAAGAGCGTGGGTGGGTTAGGCAGGGCTCAGCAAGCAGTCTGTAGGTGGCGCTGCATGCCAAATGGGGGCGCTGGCAAGATGGTTCAGGGGAGGAAAGGCCGCACCTTTCTGGAGCCGTGGCCAGCGGGGGCTGCGCCCGCCTCGCCGTTGGCATCTATGGGGGCGGGCTCAGGCGGCGGAGCAGCCTTTGCCTCGCCCCCGCGGCAGCGCTTGCCAAGCCGGCCAAACCGCTGCAGCGCAGGGCAGGGGAACGCGTCAAGCCAGTGCCGCAAAACACACGCATCCCTGGTGTGTCAAGTGCAGGTGGGCTGCGCAGAGCAGGGCATGCCTGAGCCCCGCCCTGGCTGCATTGGCACCATGACAGCTGGCGGTCCTGCGGCTGATCGGCGGCAGAACATCCAAATGATGCCTCACCTGGATAGAGCGCAGCACGCGGCCCTCGCAGCCCTTGCAGCAGTGCTTGCGGGTCACCAGGTTCCTGCGGGCAGGCATGGGAGGGTTGAGGAGTCGGGGCGAGGGCATCCTCACTTCCTGCCGGTACGTGTAGGGCGCCGAACCGCCCTCAATGCCAGGTGGCTGGCTGGGCATCCCGCGGGTTGCCCCGCACAACAGCGCAGGCTGCTTGGGACCACAAGCTCAAGGCGTCAGCCTGAGGCTCCGCCCGGCTGGCTCACCAAGCAAAGTGGTCGCTGCCGGGCACCAGCGCGGGCCCACGGCCGCGCCCGCTGCCGCTCGCGCCACAGGCATCTCCCGGCTGCCGGTCGTAGCACAGGTACACGTGAGCCTGCACCTTCACACCCGACTCCAGCTGAATCAGGAAGCCGACGGCCGAGTCCTGCAGCAAAACGAAAGGGGCGGGGGCGCAGATGCAAGGGGTGGGGTGACAGCGCCAGAGTGTGCGGCGGGGTTGGCCGAGGAGGCCCATCGGGCGCAGTTGCATTCCAGCAGGCAATCCTGCCTGCTGGTCCGAGCACCCTCGGCAATATGTGGTGGCACTGCCGCTGTGCACCTGGTGCGCCTCTGGGAACTTGGCGCCGCTCGCGTGGAGCGCTTGCTGAACGGCCGCCGTGCGCGTGCCGCCCTCCTCTCCAAGCACCAGCTCAACCTGGTTGTAGCTCCACCGCTTCTTGCCCAGCTTGTAGGCCCTGCAACCAGGGAGCGTGGGCCAGCAAGCTGAACAGTGGCCGCAAAACCCCAGGGCGCCCCCAGCCAAACATTGGCCGCATGTCGGGTACCCAGGCCATTGGGCCTTCCATTGCCCACACACCCCCCTCGGAGGGCCAGGGGCTCCCCGGGGCGCCCCGCCGCGGCCGCCATGTACTGCACACTGGTGCATGGCGAGCATGCCAGCCGCTGCGTGGTGCTCCCTGGCGCTGCCCCTGCCGCCCCAATTGGCCTCACCTGATCTCGGGCAGCTGGGTCCCTGGCCTGAATTGCTCGTGCCAAGACTGCGGCAGCTGGGTCTGGAGCGGGCAAGCCACAGAGCCATCCATGGTGCCCTCCCTCCACGCCTGCGCGGCCCGATATGTCCGGGAGGCAAGCCTGATCACTTAATATGTTGGGGCAGGCGGCGTCTGGGTGATGAACACGCGAGAACTCAAAAGCGTAGTGGACGCAATCCGCCTTTCTTTCGCGGGGATTTAACTCCCCCCGGGCGGCGCCATCCGCCCACCATTGCTGGGTTCAAGGCTCAATTGGCCCTCAGCGAGGCATCACTTGCAAACTGAGATGCACAGGCGGGCGGCAGGAGGCCTGTTGTGACCAAGCATGCTTCAGGGAATTGAAGAGATAGGTGCTCCAAACTCCCCACCCTCCTCAACATCCTTCTACAACCTGATTTAAAAATATTGTGCAGGGTACGTTGAGACGATGGTGAACCCAGGCTTCGCTGACCGGCCGCACCCCACCATGCGGCCCCCGCTCATACCGCCCTGTCCAGTCACATAAATTGCAGGTTAAGGGCGAGTCCGCCCCCACAGACTGATACACAAGTTCGACGCCTGCATCGATTGCTTGCAGTAGGCCGGCACAAGTATTTGTGCCCGCCCGCCACCGGCTGAGACTCCCAGGTCAGGACCCACTGCCAACGTGCTTTTGGAGCAGTTCAATGCGACTCAGATTCATTGGTGCGCTGGGACATTGCAGGCACAACTGGCGGTGGGCACAAGTGGCAAGGCCCCCTGGGCAAAGTAGTGGGGCTGCAGTGGTGGGTGGTGTGGTCAACAGCCAGGGGTGTGCATCCGGCACGAGCGTGCATTACTCTAAGCGCTTGCTCCAGGGTCCCCCTTGCCCCTGCTTGTAAGTATGTCTGTGTGTAACGGGCAAAGAGCAATTTGCTATTGGCGGATTAACTCTGCTTTGCGCACCCGCCGGTTTGCGGCTCACGTGTGCCGCACCGGTACCTGCTGCTGGGCAGCCGATCAGAGCCTGTCCAACTCAAACCCGACCTGCGCTCTACACGGCGTAGGCGTGAGGTGTTGACGAAAGGTTCTGTTGCCTGGAGTGAAGCGACGTTAGCTCGAGGGCCCACATCACGCGGCGTGCCGCGGCGAGGCAGCGCATGTGTACTGCCGGCGCCAATGCTGGCGCGCCTGCGGGCAGATCAGCATTGTCCTAGCATTCCTGGCATCCCCTGGAGCTCTGTCCCCGCTCCCCTGCTCACGCCAGCACACAAGATGGCGGAGGCGCAGGATGACGGGCCTCCGCCTCCTGCAGAGGTGCCGCCATCGGCTGCACAGCCCTCGGTTGACGATGTGCCCCCACCCCCACCCGTTAGCGAGCCAGCCCCCGTGCCAGCGGACAGGGGTGAGGCCGCGCCGAGCGCTGCAGCAGGGGCCGCAGCTCCTGCATCGGAGGTGGCAGCTAATCAAGCAGCAGCGGAGGCGGCGGCAGCCGACGCTCCGACTGCCCCCGCGGCAGGCGAAGCGGCCTCCTCGCCCACGGCGGCAGCAGGAGAAGGCGCAGCCGCGACAGCAGCAACAGCTCACGCTGGCGCAGCGGTGAAGGCAGAGGAGGGCAGGGCAGCGGCAGATGTCAAGGACGAGGCTGTCGTGACGCACGAAGCGGCAGGCGGCCCCGCACTAGCAGCACCCGAGCCGCCCAGCGACGAGGTGCTGGTGGCGCGCCTGCGCCAGCTGCTGACGGAAGTGGACCTCGCCACAACCACGGGTGGGTGGTACGAGGCAGCTGGCTCGGGGCCTGGCCGCCGGAGCCGGCATGTCGGCGCAGCTGGCCTGGTGAGGGGTGGCCGCTCAGCCTGTCACGATCGTCTCGCACCGATCGGGCGCCTCGGAATCCGGCTGGCAGCCAAGGCAGCTGCCCAGTACCATGCCGTGCCTCAGCTATCCCACCAGCTGCACCATCTCCCCGGTCCCCTGCCTCACCGCCTGCACCCTGCCCGTCCTCGTGCTGATCTGTCCACACTCTCGCAAGCCACCTGCCTGTATGGCGGCTTATGCTCCTCGCCCGCCACCAGCCCACCCAGCCCCGTTCCGTGCTGCCCTGCAGAGAAGCAGCTGCGGCGGCGGCTGGAGGATGAGTACGGTGTGGACCTGGCGGGGCGCAAGAAGCTGCTGCGGTCTGAAATCAACGCCTACCTGGAAGCTGCCGAGGGGGACCAGGTGGGCTCAAAGCTTGGGCACGGCGGAGCAGCCCCTGCATGTGTGGGAGCGAGGGAAGCAGGGGTGCGGCAGGCTGGTTGGCGAGGGCCTAGGCCCGGGTGGAGGCAGAGGGCTGTCTGAGGGCAGGCGGATCGCTGCCGCACTGCTTGCTAGCGAGCAAGGAGCCCTGCAGGCACTGTCTAGCGGCCATTTTTGGTTGTGAGTCGCACCCCTGCCTGAGTCCTTGCAGGACAGCGCTGGGGAGGCAGAGGGGAAGGAGGAAGAGCAAGAGGAGGAGGAGGAGGAGGAGGAGGAGGCGTGAGTACGGCTGCCGAGTAGTTTGCTGCAGGCCGCGCCCGCTCGCCTGGCTAGTTGCAGGCCGACGCCCCAACATTCGCGCTTGCGTCCACTCGCCTCCTCCCCGCCTGCTCCACGCGCCTGCAGGCCCAGTGGGCGCAAACGCAGGGCGGGCGGCAGCAGCCTGGGCTCCTTCCTCAGCCCCGAGATGCAGGACTTCCTGGGCGTGGAGCGCCTGCCCCGCACCCAGGTGCGGCTGCGCCCTGCAGAGCGGCGCTGCCCCGGGCCCTGGGTCTCGCATGCGGGCGCGCGCCACGCCCAGCCCCTGCGTGCGTGCCAGCCCGTCGCGCTGCGCTGCCCAGGCCGGCCAGCCGCGCGCGTGCCGCCTCTTGCAGGTGGTGAAGCGGCTGTGGGAGTACATCAAGGAGCACGGCCTGCAGGACCCCAAGGACAAGCGCACCATCATCTTTGGTGAGGGCGGGCGGGGCGGGGGAGGGCGTCAGGGAGGGCCCGGCTGAGCGTTTGTGGCGACAGCGCAGGGCGCGGGCGCATCGGTTCTGTGTGGCGCTAAGCGCGCCGTGGCCGGCGCCGTCGGGCCCGCCAGCGCTGACGAATGCCGCTGCTGCTGCTGCTGCTGCCGCCACGCCGCATACCGAGCGCAGACGACAAGCTCAAGACGCTGTTCACCGGCACCAAGTGCAACATGTTCAAGCTGCAGAAGCACCTGTCCAAGCACTGCAAGACCAGCGGTGGGGCGGGCTGGGCGGCGGCGGGCTGGGGAGGATGCGGACAGCAGAAGGGGTGATGTGTTGAGCCCCGTGTTGCTGCTGGACGCGAACCGTGATTGGCCGACGCCTCTCGCCCTGCCTGCCTGCGCGCTCTCCTCTGCCTGCAGATGTGGTTGGGGGCAGCGACGACGACGAGGGCAGCGAGGAGGAGGGTGAGGATGATGATGATGAGGAGGAGGAGGAGCGGCCCCCCGCCAAGAAGGCGCGGAAAGCCCCCGCGCCCAGGGCCGCCAGCCGCAAGCGCGGCAGCAGCGCAGGGGAGGAGGGCAGGGAGCGCAAGCCCAACGGGTTCACGAAGGAGTGCACGTGCGTGTGTGTGGTGGTGGTGGGGGGGGCTGCGTGCCCTCTGACGGGCGGCTACATGCATGCATGAGCCAGGGGCGCGTTGGAGGGTGCGTGCTGGTTGCCCTTGCTTGACAACAGGCTGCGCTTCGGCGGCCTTTGCCCCGCCTCCTGCCCCACCTGCCCCGCCTGGCGCCGCCCCGCGCCGCAGGCTGTCTGCCGAGATGGCAGCCTGGATTGGCAAGCCCACCGCCTCCCGCCCCGAGATCACCAAGTTCTTCTGGGCATACTGCAAGGAGCGGGGGCTGCAGGTGCGGCGGCGCGGGCAGCATCTAGACGCCTGCCCAGCAGCGACCGAGGCTGGTGCCGCTCAACCAGGCGCTGGCAGCCGCACGATCCTGCTGCTTGCCTGCCAACGCCCGCTGCGATGCCCTTGCCTTGCCGTCCTGCGCTTACCGCTTGCCGGTGCCCGCGCGCTTGCGCCCTTCTTCCTTGCCGCGCCCCGCAGGACCCCGCTGACAAGAGCTTCATTGTGGCGGACGGGGCGCTCAAGGGGCTGACTGGCGAGGCGCGGTTCAAGGGCTTTGGCTTCTCCAAGCTCATCAAGGAGCACATCACCGGCTACACATAGCGGCGCGGCGCGGCGCGGCGTGGGCGTACACGTACCGGCGGTCAACTCCCTGTGCCGCCGTCAAGCGCGGGCTGTCTGTTTCCAGCCCGGTCGCAGGGGAGGCCCCGGCCCCGGCATCAGCTTTCATTTCTGTCCCGCTCCGAGTGCTTGCTCTGCTGCTGCCGCCGACGTGCTTGCGTCGCAACGGCCTGTTTCATTCCCCTGAATTTTGGTTTTGGAATAACAATGTAATCGATGGATGTCATGCCACTCGAAAAGGGAAAGCAGTGCTCACAAAACCAACACGCATACATCACGGGCGGCGGAGCCAATGTTGCCGCTACTGCCTGCGTACGGGGCAGCTCTTCTGCGTGCAGCTGCCTGGCTCGAACAGGCCGCCGCACTCTTCGCACAGGCCCAGCTGCCGCCGCTGCTGGCGTGCCACAAAGCGGTCTACCTGCGGGGGAGGACCCAGCGCGAGCGGGATGGATCAGCGGTGCAGAGAGTGGCAGGCGGGCGTGGGGGCGGCACCTTGGCGTCCCTGCTGCTGCCGCACTTGCTGCTGAATGCCAACACATTCAGCATGCAGGTGTGCCACCCAGTGTCGCTACAGGCACGGTGCGGGCAAACCGAATGGGCACCTGGCTGGAGCTCAGGTAGAGGAGCAGCAGCAGGCCGCCAAACACCAGGCCCACAGCCTGGTCTAGTGTCCAGATCGGCGCCTCGTCCACCGCAACTGCCAGATCGGCAGCGAGCTGCGGCAGGGCGTCTGCGACAGCAGCAGGCACGGCCGCCACTGCTGCTGCTCCCACCGACGCCGCAGGTACGGCTGCCGCCGCCACTGCCGCCGGCCGGCGCTGCATACCATGCGCTCCAGCGGCATGCATTGGCCTGTTTGGCCGCTTACGAGCTGCCAGAGGGCTGCAGCAGGCGAGTTGCTGCTGGTGGCCGGCCTGCGGTGCGGCCAGCTGCTGGGCGCCAATACGAGACGCCATCGGGGTAATCATCAGCAGATGTGAGTCTGAAATGACGCACTGGAGTGTTGGGAGCTCACTTTTCGCCGGGATGACACTGCTGGCAAAGCACGGAGCGCACAGTTCCAGGTCCGAATGCACACCTTGCACCAGTAAAAGCACCGAGGAGGAGGAAGCCCGATATGCGCTGCTTGCTGCTGCAGGCAGGGGAGGGGTGGGAGGAGCTGGTGGAGCTCCACGCCCTGCCTGTGGGCACGCTGCCAGAGGACGTTTTGCAGCAGGTGAGGCCCCGGGAGCCCTCAGATCGCGTGGGGTTGGCATGCCAGGCCGTGGGAGCAAGGGTTTGACCGCTGCCGCCGCCGCCGCTGCTCAAAAACCCTGGTGCGGAAGGCCGACACGCAGGTGGGCTCAGCATCCGCATGCCTCTTGGCTTGCTGGCAAATCAATGCCCGTTGACCGCCTGCAGGGCCAGCTGTACCAGGCAAGCATTGCAGGCGGCAGCGGCGGGCGGCTCTACTGGCAGCACAGCCCTTTGGCTTGGCAGCACAACCTGCTGGCCTCTGGCCTTGCAAACACCCAGGCACGTGTGTGGCATGGTCCCAGCTGTAGTGCTTTCCCAGCTGGGGAGGAAGCGCAAGCGCATTGTCCTCCCTGAGCCCACGGGAAGGCAGCCCGTAACATGGCAGCGTACTGCCCTACCTCTTTGACCGTATCTCACGTGGCCCATGCCCGCAGGTGTGTGGCGATGCCGTGCTCGCCCTCCCCGAGCCGGCCTCCGAGCTGCAGCTGCACCAACAGGTCCAGCAGCTGGCCGCTCAGCACCTGCGGCACAGCGCAGGGTGGCGACTGAGCGGGGCGGGGCCCTGCGGCGCCATCGGCGGCATCGACCCCAGCTGCGCGCCTGGGCGCCGCAAGCGGTCAGTGGGGTCCCAGCAGCAGCAGCAGGCGCTCCTGCAGCAGCTGCTGCGCCGGCCTGTGCGCGCCTCTGCGCAGCAGCGGCCCGGCGTGGCAGCTGATGCACAGGCTGGCGCGCAAGAGTGGGGCGAGGCTGCGGTGGCGGCTCCCGGCACCCCAGAACGCCAGCCGGTGCTGGCTGCCACAACCGCCGCAGCAGGCGTCCAGCAGCCCGGACCCGAGCCTGAGAACCCGCAACCGCAGCAGGCCGGCCTCAGGGCCGCCCGCCAGCACCCTCCGCAGCAGCAGGCCTCCCACGAGGTCCAGATCTTCGAGTGCGAGCCGCGGCAGCAGCTGCTCTGGAGCATCGCGGGCCGCGCCACCTCCATGAGCTGGCAGGGAGGAGCGGCAGCAGCGGGGGCACCGGCAGCTGGGGCAGGGCCAGCGGGCTTGTCGCCAGCTGTTGCAGTGCCAGCTGTTGCAGTTCAGCCCGCCACCTGCGACTCCCTCCCTGCCGCTGCCCCGGCAGCAGCGGAAGCAGTGCTTGGCCTCCCATCAGACGCAGCCCCTGCCGTGCTGCCTGTCAAGTACCGCGGCAGCCTGGAGCGCTCGTGCTGGACGGAGCTGCAGCCGGAGATGCTGGCAGTTGTGCTGGCCCAAGCAGGTGTGGCTATTTTTTGTATTCAAGCAGTATCGCTACCAACCCGCTGTCGCGCTGGAACATCTCATGGGTCCAGTCCATCCACCCACAGCTGGCTCTGCTCTCGCCTCACCCTGCCTCACGCTGCCATGCCAGCCCTGCTGTGCAGGTCACAGCAGCCACACGGCACGCACGCTGAGCCAGGTGTGCAGCAGCTGGCGGCAGGGCGTGGCGGCAGAGCGCAGTGCGCTGCGCCAGCTTCGCTTCTCCCGGCTGGAGCCCCGCGCGGCCGGCAGCTGCGGCAATGGCAGCAGCCAGGCAAGCAGCGCTCTGAGCGGCGCTGGTGCCGAGCGCAGCAGCAGCAGCGGCGGCTTCCAGCTGCCCTGGCTGGTGGAGCAGGCGGTCAAGGCGGGCAATGTGGCCGCCAGCGTGGCAGCCGCACGTTACCTGGAGCGGCAGGGGCAGGATGGCGTCCTTCCGCAGTCGACGCCTGGCTCCGCTGCAGCGCTCAGGGCCGCCGGCACCTGGTATGGCGCCGAGAGTGAGGCTGCTGCGCTGAGGCGTGGCGCTGGCGCTGCCGCGGCACGGTCGTCAGGCATGGCTGCGCAGGCTGCGCGATACTGGGCCCGCGCGGCCAAGGCTGGGCACCCCGAGGCGCAGTGGAAGCTTGGGTTGGGGCACTACAAGGTGTGTACCGCATGGCCTGGCAGGCTGGGATGCCAATTGGGGAGTGGAGCCCCCCCTCTCTCTCTCTCTTGGTGCGCCGACCGCCGCCTCCTTGCCTGCAGGGCCTCATGGGCCTCTCCCACGACAGCGAGGAGGCGCTGATGTGGCTGTCGCGCGCCGCCAGGCAGCTGGAGGAGGCTGCGGCAAAGCCAGGCGGCGGCGCCGGCAGCAGCGACTGCCGCGGCGCTGCCGGGACACCCCCCAACACCGTGCAGCCAAGGCTGCCTGTCCTCATGACTCAGGCCAGCTGCCGCCAGACCTTGGCCCAGGTGGGTGCGTGGATGAGTGGGGTGCAGCCACAGCTGTGCACCGCCGTGGCACGACGTCTGCCCTTGCGGCTGGCCGCGCAGCTGACCTCCTCGTCCTTCCATGCGCCTGCAGGCAGCGCACATCCTCGGCTATTTGTGTTTGGATGGAGAAGGCACCCGGGCCGACACCCAAGCCGCCATCCGCTGGTTCCGCCTGGCTGAGCGCTACGGCTGCTTGGAGGCGGGGCGCGTGCTGGGCTCGTTGTACAACAGTGGCCAGTACTGAGGCATGTTTCTGATTCAGGTGTCTGTTCTTTCAGCGTCTCTGCTCCTGCATTATTCTTTTGTTGGCTTGCCCACCAGAACCCCAGGTCCGGGAATCATCAATGGATCCCAGACCCACGACCAACCGCATTCCCTGCGCATTGCACTCGGTAATCTGCCTTTCTGTACACACTTTTATGCTGTACCAACAAGCACCCTTCGTGCAAAACATTGACATACATTGACTGGTCATGCACGTGTGGCGGCCACTGCAGTACTCTTCAAGTACCGTCGCCCACATGTGGTGCCAATGTGGGTGCAACTGCGTTCGTGTGGGCATTCTCGCATTGCACACCCTCCAACAGCCATGCTGAAGCGCGTGTTTTATCGAAAGTGCAACGAAACAGCATCAGACGAGGCCCTGGTTCAGGAACTGCTCAGCCAGGTGGATGAGCGCACTTTGGAGGCCTATGATGGATCCAGCGAGCTGCCCACAGGCGCAAAGGACGCATCGGCGGTGGAGTCGCTGCTCCTGCGCTACTTGGTGGCTGAGAAGAAGAGCATCGAGCAAGCCAGCGCAAGGCTAGAGAAGCAGGCAGCCTGGCGGAGGGGCTGGGGCACCGTGTCAGAGGTGAACAGCCTGCCTGCAGTGCTCCCCTACCCGCCGCTCCGCCCTGCCGTTGGTACCACCACACTGGTTGCTGTTCGGCTCCTGTTGGCTATCAAATCAAACCGACAACTGTCCGGGCCCGCTCCCTGTGGGTGCAGGAGGATGTCATGGCAGAGCTGCAGCTGGGCAAGGTCAAGGTGCAGCTGCCGACTACGGGCAGCGCCGGCCGCCCCATGATCATCGTCAAGGGCAAGCTGCACAGGCCAGGCACACCGCCGCTCCTCATGAACCAGGTGTGAGACGTGAAGGCGCGGCCCCTGCAGCAGCCGGGTGGCATCCCTCCGCATGCCCAGCGTGCGCAACAATCGCCACCTCCCTGCAGTCCTTAAGGAGTGGCGCCTCGGTGCCCCCACCGCTTCACCACCACTCTCACCGCCGCCTTGCTGTCTGCCCGCAGTTCATCTACTACTGCTTGGAGGCCGCCAGCCACTACTGCTGGCACCCAGCCAACCCGGACGGCAAGCTGGTGGCCGTCTTTGACCTGGCGGGCTTGCAGATAAAGAACCTGGACGCCGCGGCGCTGCGTGCGTCATTCACGATGCTGGAGCAGCACTTTCCGGAGCGGGTGGTGGAGGTGAGCGCAGTGTGATTGACGGGCAAGGCATGCACGCCAACTGTATTGGTTCAGCAGAGGTATTGATGAAAACAAAAATGGGGAAACAATTCTATACCTGTGTGTGTGTGTGTGTGTGTGTGTGTGTGTGTGTTTTCAAATAGATCTGGATGCTGGAAGCCCCCACCATCTTCTGGGGCATCTGGAAGCTGGTTTCCCCCTTCATCGACCAGACCACGCGCAAGCGCATCCACTTTGTGTACGGGGCAGCGGCGCGGGAGCAGCTGGTCAAGGTGAGCTGCTGGCCTGCACCGCCCATGTCCATTACGTTGACGCCACCTTCTTGACTGGCACGCGCGCCCTGCCTCCGCCGCTGCCCTCCACGACTGCTTCCTGGCGGCTGGCTGGAGGCCGAGAGTGTGTGTGCGGCATACTTGCCGCCTGCTTGCGCGTGCAGAGCCTAGGCACCGACATCCTGCCGGTGGAGTATGGCGGCAGCGCGGCGGAGACGCCGGTGGAGCAGGCCGTGCAGCAGCTGGCCGCCTGGCGCAAGCAGATGGGGCTGGAGCAGGCTCAGCCGCAGGAGGAGCTGGCGCAGGAGGGTGCAGCGTCGCTGCGTGTGTCGCGCTCCTCCCCCACCCTCGCACAGGCGCAGGGCAGCTGCTGAGAGCAGGTAACTGCACCCCTCGACGTGAACCACATACTGCCTTTGCAAGCTCAATCTTCCTGTTCACTTCCCCGCCTGTCTGCCATCGTTTCATCTGATTCAGTACCAGCCTCTCCATTGCTGTCACCTCTAAACGACGGCCCAATTTTGCACTCCCCCTTCTGATGCTTCATCCCCCTGTTTGTCCTGTTCAACCGTCACTTATCTCTTTTGACAACAATTCTTGGTACCGGCAATTTTGCCATTCAATCTCAGTATCACTCATGTGTGTCGCAAGGCACACAGCATGGGTCACCGCGGCGCACCGCTGCTGCTGCTGCGCTGCTGGGCCACTATGTCGGCCACCACCTGCTGCTGCTGAGGGGGCAGCGAGGCAGCCGCCGCCACCAGCTCAGGCCCCATCGAGTGCGCCAGCGCCGCCAGCGCACCCTGCACCATATGGCGCAGCTCGGGCCGCCGCTCTGCCGTCAGCAGCGCAAACAAAGCCGGCAGCGCATGCTTGCGGACAAGGGCGGGGCGGGTTGGCCAGAGCTGCGGGGCCAGCACCACCAGCCGGGCAAGCAGTGCCTCCTTGCTGCGGGCGGCGCCGGCGGGAGACCCCAGCGCGGCCATCAGGGGCGGCATGAAGCTGGAGGCATCCCAGCTGCGCAGCGCTGTGTCCAGAGCTTCCGCTGCTCCCTGCGGTGGAAGGAGCAAAAAGGAGCTTGCTGCAGGCTTGTCTCCAAACACCAGGGTGCCATGTGTGGCTGGTCATCCACAACAGGCCCCCCACCTGGCGCACTGACGGGTTGCTGCTGTCGCTGCACTTGCAAAGCGCGGGCACCAGCGCGGCGGCTGCCGGCGCCAGGCCCTCCCCAGCGGCTGCCAGCACACGGTTGAGGGCTGCCAGAGCCTGCAGGGCCAGGGCCGGGGCAATGCCTGCTGAGCAACAGAAGCCAGAGCACAGGGAAACACACCACGCTGCGTCAAGCCGCTCCATGCTCCCACCCTCACCTGCTGCTGCACTTTCAGGTTGGCATCCAGCACAGGCTCCGCCAGCGCACACGCCACCCACAGCTGCCCCTCTGGCGGGAGCTGCGGCGCCGCCTGGAGCCCATCCACCCCCGCAACGCGCTCCTTCCAATCCCGGCTGTCCAGCTGCGCCCTGGCCGCCTCCAGCTGCTGCTGCACGTCGGGGTCCACCCCAGCCAGGGACGCCACAGGCAGCGGGCCCCCGACAGCATCACACGTGCCCCCACTGGCTGGGCGTGCGGCGCTGCCGCTGGCGGGCCTCGAGCCCTGCCGCTCAGCACCCCCGGCCGTCTTGCCGCTGGAAGCACGCGCGCCGCTGCTGCTGCCCCCTCCTGCTTGACTGCCGGGCCGGGCCGAGGGCTGCCACTTGCTGCCCGACACCCATGCAATGCTGCTGCTGGTGGTTGGCGGGGCGCCTGTGGCGCCTGCAGCGGGCGCGCCATAGCTGCCTGCGGAGGGCCGGCTGCCGCTGCTGCTGGCCCTGGCCGCAGGTGCCACCTGGGGACCTGCCGAGGTCGGGACGCTCTGCCTGGCGGGGCTGTAGGCGCCTGCCGTGGGCGACGCTGGGCTGGCGCCTGCCGCCGCGGCGACAATGCGCAGGGCTGCCGAGGGCTGGCGGATGGGCGCCGGCGCCGGCATACACTCCGCATCCAGCACGTCCCACACCTGCACCATTAAACACCAGGCTCTGCCTTTCAATGGAGCAGCCCATATGATCAGCCCACGTGGCCGGGCTGTTGCCATTGCCAAGCCGCCGCGTCACGTGGCTGCCACGTGGCAGGGCAGCCCCCCTCCCCTGCACACACACAGCACCTTGTCTGTCTTGCAGTCCAGCCTGGCCAGCGCCCGCCTGAAGTCGTCCCCGCCGCCTGTGCCGCCATCCAGCAGGCGCCGCAGCTCCCACAGCATGCGCTTGCCCGCTGTGCGCGCCTCCAGCCGCCCCTCATCCAGCAGGCCGACCGCGGTGCGCAGCAGGCGGGGCGCCAGCGCGCCGGCCGCGGCGCCGCCCCCAGCCGCCGAGTCCAGCTGCGGCAGCACGAGCGGCAGGCGGGCCGATCAGGGGGCAACATCTTGCTGATGCCGGCCTTGACGTGTGCCTTGGCAGGGGGCTTTGAGCGCGCTGCTCCAGTTCACCCCACTCCCCGCCGCCGTGCATCTCACCAGGCGCGCCCCGTGCTGCTGCAGGCAGGAGTCGAGGTGCATGGCCGCCTTGGCGCGCACGTCGGGCGACTTGGTGCCGGCCAGGCAGCTCAGCAGCGTGGCCGCCACCCGCGCCTCCCCTGCGTGCTCCACGACCGCCGCCACCGCCCGGTCGGCTTCCACCGCCAGGAAGTTGTCACGCCCCGCAATAGACACCTGCGGCAAGTGGTGGGGGGGGCGCCGGATCACCAAGGAGGGCATGGGCCGCCACGCTGGGGGCCTGCAGCGCCAGCCACCACCTCCAGCGCACCTGGCCAGCCCGCTTCAGCAGCAGCGGCACAAAGACCTCCAGCTCGGCATCCAGAGCGGGGCCAAGCCCCTCTGCCAGCTCCTGAGGTCAAACACGAACGACGCGGCCAGGCAGCGTGAGGGTCAATGAGGGGCAAAGCAGGGAGATGGCGACCCAAATTAAGGGACCAACATCCCCAGCTGCCGCCGGCTCCTGCCAGCCACCACCTCATCGGCACGGCACGACACGCGGGAAGGGCGCACCTGGAAGATGGCTATGGCCATGCGAGACAGCGTGCTGCGCAGGGCGTCGATGACGGGCGCCGCCAGGGCCACCAGGGCATGCAGGGACGGGGCCACCACCCCCGGGTGGTGGCGCGCCAGGCGGCGGGCGGTACGCAGCGCCTCGTACTGCGCCTGCCAGTCCAGCTCCTTCACCTGGCTCACCGCCGCCTGCTGCATCTGGCCCAGCGACTGCCGCAGCGCGGCCTCGGGCTGGGCCAGCGGCGAGGCATCGGCTGATGGGCTGAAGGCGGCTCCGCCGCCTGCCGCCCCGTCGGCAGCCGCTGCCGGCCCCGCCTTGGGGCTGCCGGCTGCCCAGGCGGCATTCAGGAAGCTCGACCGCCGCCACGTGGCGCGCCCCGGCGACGCACTGCCGCCCGTGGGGCTGTCTGGCCACTGCGTGCTGCTGCCGGTGCTGCTGCGCGACAGCGCCGCTGCCTGCAAGGGCACAGCCATACACACAATGGTTCACCCAGTGCGCTGGTTGTGCCGACGTGCGATTTGGCAAGCAAGGCAACCAAACGGGCCGCCTGAGCAGCAGGCACCCGGCAGCCACTTGCCTTTGATGGGCTGCTGCCGCCGCCGCTGCCGGCCGTCTTGAGCGGCGACCACGCGGCTGCCGGGCTGCAGACTGGCTGGTCGGGCCCAAACACATCCTCCACCGCCTCCATAGAGTAAAGGCCTGAGCTGCTGCCAGCCGCCGCACCCAGCGCGGCAGGCGTGGCAGATGGGCTGCCGACGATGCGCGCGGTGCGGGCCCGCACCTTGAGAGCCTGCAGGCAGGGCCGCGCGCCGGGGCTGCCCTCGGCGCCTCCCACCGCGCCGCTGCTGCCCGCCTCGGGTGCGGCGGCGCCTGGCGGGGCAGCCATCGGGCCGTCGGCCCCCAGGCCGTCCAGCAAAGGCTGCTGCAGGCCGTCCCCCGCGTCCTGCAGCAGCTGGCGCTGCGGCTGCGCCGTGATGGGAGCGCTGGACACCCGCCGCCGCTCCGACAGCCGCTTCAGCCGGTTCAGCTTGTCGGCAGTGGAGCCAGGGCTGTCAGGCTGCTGCTGCTGGGAGGGGCTGTCTGGAATGGCTGCTGCAATCAGGCTGGGCCTGCCACCCCAGGCGCTTTCCTCTGTGTACATAGGGTCAACCGGCTGCTGTTGCTGCTGCACCGCAGGAGCAGCGCCAGCGCCGTGCTGCTCACGCACCGCTGCAATGGACCAGCCAGGGCTGCCAGTCTCATGCTGCTGCTGCTGCTGCTGATGCTGCCGCTGCACTGCATCCTTACTGACCGCTGCCTCGTCAGCTGCAGGCGCCTCTGCACCAAAAATCCTCTTCTTGAAGCTGCTCAGCGTCCTCCTGAGCGCGGCGCTGCCGATGCGGGGCAGCGGCGGGGTGGCAGCCGGTGCCGCAGGGCTGGTCGACGGCGGCAGCGGCGGCTGCGGGCGCGCCGCCAAGCTGCCTGCCGCCGTCCGGCTGGAGGCTGCGCGGGCCGGCAGGCGCCACTGCAGCAGCGAATCTGAGCGGGGCTCCACGCCAAGTCCCGCATCTGGGACGCCCGCATTCAGCTGCTGCCAGCTGAACGACGGGGCCCGACCCTCGACAGTGCCTGCCGCCAGCCCATCACCCGCGCCGTCGCTGTCAGCTGCCTCCTCCTCAAAGTTGCCGCTGCCCCCCACCCGCTGCTGCCAGTTGCGCACGCTGGCGTACAGATCAGCATTGTATGCGCCCGCAGCGCCCGCGCCAGGTGCAGCCGTCGCCGCCGCCCCACCCGCTGCGGGCGGGGCTGCCGGCGCTGCTGGTTGGAGGCTGGGGCCTGTGGCTGGCTGGAGCCTGTGGCTGGCGGAGCTAGCATGGGTGAGCTTGGAGGGGCGCTTGAAGCTGCGGACGCCATCCCTGCCAGCTGGCGCTGCTGCCGAGAGGTCTGGAGCAGCAAGGCCAGCTGAGGCGGTGCCGGTAATGCTCCTGCCCCTGCGAGACGCCGACGCCGACTGCTGCAGCTGCGTGGGCCGCCGGGCGGGGCGCACCCAGCTGAGGAGCGAGCCCTCTGACCGCTCAACAGGCTCCCCACCCTCCTCAGCTGCCACCGTACTGCTGCGCCCGGTGCTGCAGGCGCCAGGCCCCTGGCTGCTCATGCTGGCGCAGCTGGCGGCGCTGCCCTCCACATCAGAGGCACCCGCTGCAGCTGCACCGTAGCCGTAGCTGCCGCCAGACAGACGGCTGCTGCTGCCACCAACCTCTGCTCCAGCTGGCGAGTATGCTGCAAGGTGGCCTCGCTGCTGCAAGCTGCCCGGAGCCGCCGGGCTGTATGGTGGCAAGACAGCTACATTCTGCACCTCCAGTGCTTCCCCGCCGCTGGCGGGCTGAGCCGCTGGCGCGGCACCGGGAGCCACGGGCAGCTCTGTGCTGCTAAATGCCGAGGCACCTCCAGCGCCGAGTGGCAAGGCCTGCTGTCCAGTCAGCGCGCCGCTGCAGGGCAGCGCGGCTGTGCCAACGAGTTGCAGAGGGCCAGCAGCGGCCGGCTCCTGCGCTGCAGCGGCAGATGCCGACAGCCTTTGCCGATGTGCGCTGGGAGGCCGGGCGTGCGCCTGCAAAGAGACGGAGCAGCAGAGGGCCAGGTGGATCCTTTACTGCATCTTTTTGCCGTTCCAAACAACTGGGCACCCTAAAATCGCCCTGGTTGCATTTTCCTACCTGGTGCTGGACCTGGCCTTGGGCATCCAGTGTCGGCAGGCCCAGCTGCGGCGTGGCACGCGCGCGCTCCGCCACCCGCCGCTTCACCCCCTCTGCCGCCCCCACCGCCGTCAGCAGCCCCTGCAGCAGCGCCCCCAGCCGCGCGTGCAGCAGCGCAAAGGCCTCGAGCGCGGCGGCCGCCACGCGCGGGGTGTCGTCGTCGGCGGCCGCCGCCAGGGCGTGCACGCAGGCTGGGTAGTCAAACCGCTCCTTGGCGTGGGTCAGCAGCGCGGCGATGTAGGCATTGACACCTTCCTCCCGCACCCGCCACTGCTGGTGCACCAGCGCACCGCCCAGCGCCTGCAGCACCGGTGCGGGGCCCAGCACCAGGGCCAGCCCCGCCACGGCGCGCGCCGCTGCCGCGCGCACCATCTGCGGCCGGCAGATGGAGTGCAGAGGCAGTCATTGGTGGGCAGGTCCAGGTCCTTGCTGGAAAGTCAGGCACTTCTTGGACCTTGGAGAGCTTGGCGTGCACAGCGTGTTTCAGCATTTGCTGATCCCACCGCCACAACCCGCACCTGCACGCCGTCGCCCAGCCGCTCGATGAGCGGCGCCATGAGGCTGCCCAGGTAGGGCTGCAGGTCGGCGCCCAGCCGTGCCGCCAGGTCTTCCAGGACGGCCATGGCTGAGGCCGCGATCTTAAAGTTGTGGTCGCCCACCAGACGCAGCAGGAAGGCGAGAAAGGCGGAGAGGGTGGCGCGCACCGCGCCCGCATCCACCGCCCCGCCGACCTCCAGCACGGTGGCGTGCAGCAGCTCGATGGCCGCGCCGCGTGCCCTGAAGTTGCCCACATCCTCCAGCAGGCTGCGCACAGCCTCAGCGGGCACCCAGCCAAACTCCAGGGCGGTGGCTGCAGGGTCCGCCAGGCGGGAGGCGGTGGCGGTGGCGGAGGCCCCCTCCTGCGCGCGGGTTATTGGCAAAGGCATGCGCCTTAGATATGGGCGCCTGAAACGGCCAAGAGGGGTGTGGAGGGCGCAGAAGCAGGGCTCACCACGCCGGGCGCCATCTCGCCCCGCCGCCTCAAAGAGGCCTAGTGGCGCCTATTCGCCTCTTCAATCAACCAAGAAGCTGGAACGCGATTCTGCTGTCCGCTCCCGGGCGCCAGCCGCAACGGCACGAAACAGGTGGTCAGCGCCCCAGCCTCAAAGCCTTCGAATGTGCCATGGCCGACACCGAGACACAATTCACGCCGATGGAACAAGGGAGGCGGCTAGAGTCTTTGTTCTTGTGGCGCCGGCGCCCTGGCTGCACGCCGTGCACGTCGCCCCGGCCGACGGCGGCAACAGGGAAGATGCAAAGGGGAGGTGACAGTGCAAAGGGGAGGTAACAGGCATGTGGCTGCGGGGGGCAGTACCAAGCATGTGGCTGCGGTGAGAGGCGCGTCGCAGCACAGCGAGCTCGAGGTGGAGCTGGCGCTGGAGGCCGCCGCCCTTGCTTTACAGGCCCTTGCTCTACAGTCACCCCGCTATGATAGGCCGCGTGAGCAGACCTTGTGCAGGGGGCACACGTGATCAAGTTGGCAGCTGAACCAGCATGGGATGGAGACATCGCCAGCCGGCAGCACTGCTGCCAGCCTGGCAGGCGCCAGTGGCCTCAGGAGGCTCACAGTGTGCGCCAGGTGGTGCGCACCCGGGCGCCAACCTGCCACAACCACAGGTGGGCCTCTGGCAAATGCCCCTCCCTGCCCCCTCCCTGCTCCCCCTTCCCTTCTACCCTCCTCTCTGCCTCCTGCCACCAGCTGTCGCCGCAGGCGCGGGTGGGGGAGACGGGCGGCTCGCAGCGCACGCCGCGCCAGGTGCGGCTGGGGCTGGCGCCGGCGGCGGACAGCGCGGCGCGGCCGGGCCTGGCGCTGGCGCCGGCCTCTCAGCAGGCCTGGCTGGAGCTGGGCAGCGGCGCGGGGATGGCGGCGGTGGGCGAGGCGCTGGCGGCGGCGGGGAGGAGCTGGCGGCGGGCGGGCACTGAGCGGCATGAATCGGCAGTAATCAACAGTCCAGCTAGCAGTACTACACACATAAGCACAGCGGCGTCTTGATCAGCAAGCTCAGTTTCACCATGCACAGCCTGCTTGCCTGGTTCCTTGTTCCTTGGGGTTGGGGGTGTGTGACATGGGGGTGTAAGGCACTGGGAACAAGCACATGGGGGCGACCCTCCTCACCTCGTGCGGCGCCGCACAGGGTCGCCCCTTGCCGCCCGCCGCGCCGGCCCTCTCTTCCCACCTCCAGGGCCACGGATGCATGGGGGGGAGGGTTCTGGGCAAAATGCAGGCTTGGCAAGGGGGCAAAACCTTTGTGCCCAGTGTGTGGGGGCCAGGGGGTGCCAAAAGAGTGACGTGCCCAATGTGTGTGGGCCAAGGGGTGCCAAAAGAGTGACGTGCCCAATGTGTGTGGGGGCCAGGGGGTGCCAAAAGAGTGACGTGCCCAATGTGGGGGGGCCAGGGGGTGCCAAAATCTTTGTGCCCAGTGTGTTGGGGGGCCCACCCCCTGGGGTGCCAAAAGAGTGACGTGCCCAATGTGGGGCTCGAACCCACGACCACAAGGTTAAGAGCCTTGCGCTCTACCGACTGAGCTAACCGGGCGTGCACGTTAAGCAGTCCGAGTTTCTAACTTGATAGGAGCCAGCAAAACATTTCGTTCATCGTTGGCCGCGCCGATTTTTGGGAGAATAACAGTTTGGTGGCGGCATCTGGGCGGCGGACGGCGGCACGGCACGGCACTCGCAAGACGGGGGCCTCCCCGGAGTGCCGTCGGCGGCCGGATCCTCCTCGCCTTGCACGGGCGGCAGGGTTGGTGGGACCAAGCCCGTGAATGCCACATCCCCTGTAGCGCGCGCACACACACACACGCACGTGCGCGCGCGTGCGCACGCACACACACACACACACACACGCGCGCGCACACATGCTGCGGGAAGGCGAAGGCGGCAGGAAGCGTGCAATGGACGGCCCCCACCCGTGCACCGGGCACCTGGCACAGCCCGCAAAGGCGGGCTGCGCCTCCTTCTCTCTTGCCCTCGCAATCTGGGCCAGCTGCCTCCACTTACGCCACCCACTTGATGTCTGGCCGCCGCTGGCCAACATGCACTGCTGCCGCACACAACCCTCCCGCCATACACAGTCTCGCACTTATCCGCTGCTGCCCCATTGAAGGCATGGTCAGCTCTCCCGGAGCCATTCTCCGTTCGTTTGGTTGTGTCTACACTTCTCGAGGTCTAACCAAAGAGATGTGCAACACCCAAAAAGATCTGCCAGGCTGGCTGTACTGCAAGGAAAGAAAAGGGGCATGAAAGGGGGATCGCACCCTTCGTCCGACACTCTTCCCGGCTCCCCGGTTCCAGCAGAAGCCGCTCGACAGACACGCAAGCCTGCTGCACGTCCAGCATGGGTCTCTTCGGGTGAGATGGGGGGGGCGCTCCTGATCGTTCATGTTCCGCGCACTCGTTTCGCTGTGCCTGCAATCTAGCTGAGCATCGCTGCCAGCGGCGCGTGGAGCACCTGACAAGGGGTGGAGCGCCTGACAAGGATGCTGCCTTGCATCGCCGCACCGCCGCCATTGATGGCACCGTGGCGGGGGATGCAAGTCTCCTGGGGTGCCTTTCCCGTAGATGGTTCTCGGGGATGGTTGCCTCTTCCCTCACGGAACAGGAGGGTATGCATCCGGATGATCACCTTACCCGCACCCGCACCGGCAGCAAACGCCCCCCCTTTCTGCCCTACCCCTCGCAGCGGCAAGAAGCACACCGTGGTGGCGGGCGACACCCTGCAGAGCATTGCAGCTCAGTATGGCACAACCCCCGAGGCCCTGCTGAAGCGCAACCGCAAGCAGGTCCAGAGCGCCGAGCAGATCCAGCCCGGCATGGTATTGTCGGTGCCAAAAGGCAGCGGATCTCCTCCTCCTCATCGTCCGACGGCTAAGCAAGCGACCGCACTGGGTGGCATCATGCAGGCTCCTCTCTGTTGGGCTTGGCAGCATGCTGCTATTTTCAATCCTACTGGCAATCAGGCCAAAATGAAAACAGCCCATGCCTCCCAAGCGAAATGCCGACAACAACCGACCAACCAATCATCAATGCTGGTGGCAGCCATTGGGTGGGGGAGAAGCTATTTAGTGCGTGGCAATTGCAAGCGCGCATGTCGGAAGCAGAGCACCAACTAAGTGTCGCAAGCAGACCACCACCTATAGTGTGCGCGGGGCGAGACAGCCCGCCGGCGCCCTGCCAACTCAGCATCGCCCCCGACCCATGGCATAGGCCTTCACCTCATTCATGCAACTCTCTACTTTCAGGGGAAACTGGTGGGCTTCCAGTTCACCCTGCATGCACGCACCGATTGCTCGCCAAACCATGCCTGGCGCTGGGCGAGCTGTGCATATGCAATATTGATGCAAAATCTCCCTGAATCACAATGGATACGTTCTCTTTCGCCGAGGCCTTCCGCCGGCTGTGCACCCGGTGTCCGGCGGCGGCGGAGCCGCCCTGCGTGCAACAGCTGGGCGGGGAGCAGGTGACCAGCGCTGCCCGAGTTGTTTGGGCCGCTTCGGCGGTGCATGCGGGAGGGCGATGGCAGCGCCGCCGCCGCTGCCGCCGCCGCTGCCAGCAGGCCTTTTGCCTGCCACTTGGTGGGCCGTTGTTATGCTCCAGCTTGCCCCACCCAAACCCTCCCCATGCATGCCGTTGCCCCATTGGCTGGACTGCAGGGCTCGGTGGCCTCCCCACAGCAATACCTGCAGGCCCTGCAGGAGCTGCTGGTGCAGTATGACGTGACGCTGCCCGCCGCCACGCTCTTCCGCCCCGTGCTGCTCAAGGCGGTTGCCGGCCTGGTGGAGGCAGCAATCGGCAGCAGACGCGGAGGTACCGGCCGTGGCGGTGCCGTGCAGCCTGGCCCAGAGCTGGCGGTTGCCCTGCTGTCGGTGCTGGAGCTGGCGCCACACACCGAGGGGTGCGCGGGCGTGCTGGGCCCCATGCTTGCAGCGCCGGCATGACGTGAATTGCAGCAAGAAACGGAGAGTGTTGGAAACCCTCTCTTCCCTGCCTATCATGAGCCTGCCCGTCCCCCATCGTGCAGGCTCGTGCTGCGATACTTCCACCACGCGCCGCCACCCTTCCACTACCTGCTTCCACCCGCCGCCGACGGCGCAGCAAGCTGTGCTGTGCCTGTCGGGCAGCTGGCGCGCAGCACGCTGCGTGGCCTGCAGCTGCTGCCCCAGCTGCAGTGGCCGGTGGCGGCGGCGCTGCCGGCGCTGCTGCAGCACGCAGACGCCGATGTGCGGTGGTGCGCCGCCGAGTGCGCCGCGCTGGCGTTTGGCCTGCAGGACGCCAGCAGGGCCAAGGTGGGGTGCAGCTGCAGTAAAGGGCGGAGCCCTCGGCTTCAGGGGCTCCCGCCTGGCCCTGCGCCTGCCACCTGCCTGAGCTGCCACCTGCCTGAGCTGCTCGTGACCTCTCGCCCCAACCTTGCCTTGCCCTTGGTGCAGCTTGCGGGGCGCGTGCTCAGTGAGGAGGAGGAGGCGCAGTGCCGCCTGCGCTGGCAGAATGAGCGTGCCATGTATTGCGCTGAGCTGGCAGTCATGTACTGCAGCAGTACCAGCAGCAGCCACGGTCTGGCCGCTGGGAGCTCTGGGCAGCAGGCTGAGGCCATGGATGCAGCTCCCACACCCCCTGCTGCACGTCGCGGCGCCGGCGCAGCCAGGAGCGGGGACAGCAGCGGCAGCCGCAAGCGCAAGCATGGCGGCGGCGGGGAGGACAGCGACGCAGACACGGCGGCTCTGGGCGGCGCTGCCGGCGGCATGGCACCGGCCGCAGGGTATGTCGAGGTGTGCGGCCTGGAGCTGCCACAGCGGCAGCAGCACGGGGGCGGCGGCGGCGCCGCACTCGCGCCTCTGGTGCACACCCCCGCTGTCGACCACAACCTGGAAGCCCTGGCTCTAGGTGGGTGCCAGGCTGCTGGTGCTGCGATTTCAAGGCACCGCCGTGCAGGCTCTTCATGTGCCAGGCATGGCAGCCTGCATGGATGCTATCAGGCCAGCAGCAGCGTCGCCAGCCGGCTGCACCCGCCTGCACCCCCCGCATGTGCCGCTGACTGCTTGCCCGCCGGCCCTGCCTGCTTGCAGGCCTGTGCCTGGGCAGCCCCATCCTGCTGGAGGGCCCCCCCGGCAGCGGCAAGTCGGCGCTGATCGAACACGTGGCGGCGCTGACGGGCAACGCGCAGGGTGAGCTGGGGCGTGGGGCTGCGCTGCACCCTGCAAACCGCCCCCCCACATGTCTCGTCGAGCAGTGTCCACCATTGCCCGCATGCTCCTGCCCACGCGCCCACACTCTGACGCCCCCACCTGCCCTCCCTCCCTCCCCTCTTCTTTCCTCCCTGCCCAGCCATGGTGCGCATCCACCTGGACGACCAGATGGACAGCAAGAGCCTGGTGGGCGCCTACGTGTGCACCGCCCGCCCCGGCGAGTTTGTGTGGCAGCCGGGGCCGCTGGCGCAGGCTGTGGCGCAGGGGCGGTGGGTGGTGGTGGAGGACGCCAACCTGGCGCCGCCCGAGGTGCTGGCCGCGCTGGTGCCGCTGCTGGAGAGGTGCGTGCTGGACGTGGCGGCGCGGGCCGAGAGCGTGGCCGCCGCCCCCGGCTTCCAGCTCATCGCCACCGTCACCTCCGCGCCAGGTGGGCTGCGTGTCCCGCTGGCATGCTGGGCATGCTGGGCAGGGAGCAGGCTGGGGGTGATCCGTTAATTGCACAGTCAGCAACCCGCTGGGCCCTGCGCCTTTGGCAGCACACAACAGATGTCGCCATTCCTGCCTGCCTGCCGCTGACTGTGCAGGCGGCACGGCTGCGGGTGCCTATGGCAGCAGCCAGGTGGTGAAAGACCTGCTGGGAGGCCTGTTTCATTACGTGGCTGGTGAGGCCCGCTGGGCTGGCACTTGCAGGGCAGCTGCCTGGCCGCCTCGTGTGCCTGACAGAGAGGGGTGGAGCTCCTCGAAACTGGCCGCCCCTGATGGCAGGTGCAGGGCCAGCTCATCCAACTCCCGGCCCTCCCCATGCGCTCCCATACTGTGCAGTGGAGCCACCCCCGGAGGCGGAGCAGCAGCGCATCCTGGCACGCCTGCACCCGCAGCTGGCGCCGCTGCTGCCCCATGCCATGGAGACCCTGAGCCTCGTGCGAGCAGCCTACGGCCAGCAGCACCACCAGCAGCAGCTGAGCGAGGCGGTGGCGGCGGCGCTGGCGGCGGCGGGCATCAGCGGCGGCCACGGCGGGGGCGCCTTTGGGTTCAGCGTGGGCCGCCACTTCAGCATCCGGGATGTGCTCAAGTGGTGCCGCCGCATGGCCTCGGTGCGCCAGCCCAGCTTGCCTGATCCCAGCCCGCCTGTGCCTGCCTGCCTGGGTGCCTTGGGCTGTCTCCCGACAACCGCCGACACCTTGGTCAGGCAGAGGTCCTGCTGTGCTCACTCACAGCCAAGCCCTCGCGTGCCCCTGCTCGCAGCTGCACGCGTCGCTGCTGCAGCGCTCCCTCAAGCCCGCTCGCTCCAGCCAGCACCAGGCCTCCGTCGCGGCTGTGCCGGTGGCGGTGCGCGAGGCGGCGTTTGTGGAGGCCGCCGACTGCTTTGGGGCCCTGCTGGGGCGTGCCGAGGTGAGAGGCCATGCCTGCCTGCTTGCTAGCCTGCCTCCCCTGCGATTGCAGCAAGCTTGACCAGCATGTCATTGAGCTGCTTCTCTGCACCTGCTCGATCCACCGCCGCCTTGGGTGCCACTGCAGGCTGCCGAGCAGCTGCTGCGGGCATTGGCAGCCCTATGGGCGGTGCCTGCAGAGGCGGTACAGCAGTACACCATGCTGCACAAGCCCGCAGTACAGGCAAGCGGCGCTGACCTGGCCGTGGGGCGAGCCAGCCTGCCGCTGGCGGATGCCGCCGCCGGCAGGCGGGCCCTGGCGGCAGCCGGCGGCGGCGCCTCCCGCTTTGCGCCCACGGGCCATGTGCTGCGCAACATGGAGCGCGTGGCGGCTGCCACCTGCCTGGGAGAGCCGGTGCTGCTGGTGGGAGAGACGGGCACCGGCAAGACCACGCTGGTGCAGCAGATTGCCAAGCAGGTGTGGGGCGGGAGGCAGGCGGTGGGCGCCAGCGCCTGCAAGTGGTGGTGCTGTTGTGCAGCATGCGTGAGCGGCTGGCTATGCACCGTAGCTTACAGGGCGGCACACGGGGCCTCAGTGGGTCTGCCAGCAGCCGCCACCGCCGCGCTTTCTTCTCTGCTGACGTGCCGCTGCTGCGTGTGCTGTGCCTGCTGCCAGGTGGGCGCCAAGCTGGTGGTGCTCAACCTCAGCCAGCAGACCGACAGCGGCGACCTGCTGGGCGGCTTCCGCCCCGTGCAGCCAGCCGAGGCGGTGCTGCCGCTGCTGGAGCGGTTTGGCGACCTTGTGCGGCGTACCTGGTGGCGGGGCAACAACGACGAGTTCCTGGGGCGGGTGGCTCGCCTGGCAGAGAAGCGCAAGTGGGGGCAGCTGGTGAAAGCCTTCCGGGCCGCGCTCGACAAGGTGGCCGCCGCGGAGCAGCAGCAGCAGGAGCAGCGGCAGGCAGCAGCAGCGCCTGGCGTCGCGCCGCCATCTGGCGGTGACAGCAGCAGCAAGAAGCAGAAGCACAGCGGCAGCAAGAAGGCAGCCCCCGCAGCCATCAGCGGCGAGGTGCTGCGCGAGTGGCGCCAGTTTGGCGGCGATGTGGCGGCGGCCGAGGCGGCGGCCACCGCAGCCGAGGGCGGGTTTGCGTTTGCGTTTGTTGAGGGCGCGCTGGTGAAGGCTGTGCGGGAGGGCTGGTGGCTACTGCTGGATGAGATGAACCTGGCGCCAGCAGAGGTGAGGGAGCGGAGGGCTGAAGGGAGGCAGGCACCCCGCTTGCAGCATTGGCGCGCAGCTGCCAATGAGTCCCGTGCATGTCGCGTCCCGCTCTACCTGTAGCGTTGTTGTGCTGCCTGCCTGCCTGACCTGGGTGCCCGTGGTGCGGTGCAGGCTCTGGAGCGCATCGCAGGCCTGCTGGAGGAGGCTGGGGGCGGGGGCCTGGTTATTGCGGAGCGGGGGGACTCGGAGGGCGTGCCGCGCCACCCCTCCTTCCGCCTCTTTGGAGCCATGAACCCGGCCACGGATGCAGGTACGGGCTGGGGGGCGTGTTGCAGCAAGGGTTGAGGGCACGGCGAGGCACCAAGCCGCCATCAGTGGTTTGTGCATGGCTGGTGCAAGACATGGGAGAGGTTGTGGTGCGAGCTTGAAGCAATGCGGTCAAGGCCTTTGCCCCCCCTTGCCCTGCCGTGCCCTGCAGGCAAACGTGACCTGCCCGCCCCGCTGCGCAATCGCTTCACCGAGATTTGGGTTGGGGAGCCGCCCCAGGTGAGATGCGCTGTGCTGCACGTGGGCGTGCATCTCCTGTCTGGCGTGTGGGAGTAGCGCTCCTTCACCCTGCCCCTGCCTGACTCTGGAACGGTGCCCTCACCCCTGCCCCTGCCTCTTCCCTGCCTCTGCCCACAGCGCGAGGACCTCGCCGCCATTGTGGCCGGCTATCTGTCTGACGTGGTGGCGGGAGCACCCGTGGAGGCCATTGTCGATTTCTACCTCGCAGCCAAGGCAGAGGCGGTGAGGCAGGGCGGCTGGGAGTGGCGGCTGGGAGTGGCAGCAGCACAACGAACTTGCCGCCGCTGTGTCCATCTGTGCCACGACACAGCGCTGCTGAGCTTGCGTGCCATCAAGGGCATGCATGCTGTACCACTGCCGCAGGAGGCGACGCTCCAGGACGGCGCGGGCCACAAGCCGGCGTACAATTTGCGCAGCCTGTGCCGTGCGCTGGAGTATGCGGCACGTGCCACCCCCACATATGGCCTGCAGGCAAGCCTGGCAGCCAGTCGCCTGGGCTGGGTGGCTTATGGGCTGCTCGCCTGCCTGCTGCTTGTTACCAACCACCATGAAGCATCACTGGCGCTTGCATGCTGCCCTGCAGCGCTCCCTGTGGGACGGTTTTGCCATGTCCTTCCTCACCCAGCTTGACCCTGCCAGCGGCGCCCGCCTGGAGAAGCTGATGCAGCAGCACCTGCTGGGCCCGGGGACCAGCCTCAAGGTGCGTGGGAGAAGGGGACACCCCTCATAGGGGCGTGCTGACATTTTACGGGCCCTGCTGGGCAGTCCGACATTGAGTGGGCTCTGCTCACAGTGAGATGTGTGCGTGTTGAGCATGCGCTGGCCCGTGCTGTGGTGCAGGTGCTGCTGCGGGCGCCGCCCGCGCCCCCCGGCCCCGACTTTGTGCTCTTTGACCAGTTCTGGGTGGGCACTGGCGGCAGGCAGCTGCCCAAGCCCGGACAAGGTGCGCCCGCCACCGCACCTGAGCTGATGCCCTGCACTCCAGCAGCTCCTCGTCTCTCCTGTCCCCATCACTCCCCACGCCATAGCCTCCCAATCTGTGAGCCCCAGACTCTGCCTCACCTTCCTACCCTTGCGCCCCGTCACCTGCTCCACAGACGGCGGCGGCGGCTTCTTTGTGCTGACCCCAACCGTTCAAGGCCACCTGCGCAATCTGGCACGCGCAGTGCTGCTGCGTCGCTACCCCATCCTTCTGCAGGCAAGTGCAGCAGCGGGACGGGGGGCAGTGCTGGGTGGGGCGCCGAGGCATCGTCACAGGCGCTGTCGTGCACTGTGTCCGCCAGCTGCCGACTCGCTTTGCGACCATGCCATGCCGCTGCTGCAGGGCCCCACCAGCAGCGGCAAGACCAGCCTGGTGTCCTATCTGGCCGCCCAAACGGGGCACACATTTGTGCGCATCAACAACCACGAGCAGACAGACCTGCAGGCACGCCACCAGCTGTGGGGCTGGGCTGGGCTGCTCAGCTGGCCGCGCAGGGCTGTGCTTCCCACTGGCTGCTAGCGCGCTGGGAGCTCCCAGGACAACCTTGGCTGCTGCCGACCTTTCTCTGCCACCACACTTTTGACGACCCCCAGATGCACCCCACGCCCAACCCACAAGATCCCTCACTCACCAACCACACCATCATCACCCGCACCCTGCAGGAGTACCTGGGCAGCTATGTGAGCGACGAGAGCGGGCGGCTGGTGTTCCGGGAGGGGCTGCTCGTGCAGGCGGTGCGCCAGGGGCACTGGATTGTGCTGGATGAGCTCAACCTGGCGCCCACCGAGGTGCTGGAGGCGCTCAACAGGTGGGTGGGGGTCTGGGGGGGTGAAGACAAGGTTGGAGCTGGCGGCCTGTAATGCTTGCGTGCTAGCTGGCTGCCTGCCTGCCTCTGCCAACGAGCCACCCTGGCTCCCTCCCGCAGGCTGCTGGACGACAACCGCGAGCTGTATGTGCCGGAGCTGCAGGAGGTGGTGCGCCCCCACCCGCACTTCATGCTCTTTGCCACACAGAACCCGCCCGGCATCTACGCCGGACGCAAAACGCTCAGCAGGTGCGCCTCGCCTGGTCTCGCATGCCCTACCGCCCTTGCATTTCAACCGGCCAACTACCCACGCGCTGCCACTCACCCGCCGTGCCCCTGGATGCCTTCCCCATAAGACCCAACCCTTTACTGCCGTATGCACGCCTGTCCCCACGCAGGGCCTTCCGGTCCCGCTTCCTGGAGCTCCATGTGGACGACATCCCCGACGACGAGCTTGCGACAATCCTGGAGAAGAGGTGCGGAGGCGGAGGCTTTGTGTGCACAGTGGTGGGGGTGGGGACGGACACCGGCTCCAGGTGGCACCTGGTCAGCGTTTCAGAGCAGGGCAGAGAGGCCTAATGGCATCCCTTTCCGCCGCTCTGCAGGTGTGCGATCGCCCCCAGCTACGCCGCCAAGCTGGTGGCAGTGCAGCGTGAGCTGCAGCGCCGCCGCTCCGCCTCCAACGTTTTTGCCGGCCGCCACGGCTTCATCACGCCCCGAGACTTGTTCAGGTGGGAGAGGCGGGCACAAGTGGTGCTGCGCAACGGGACACGACAGCAGCGGCTGGACAGAAGTTGATTGATTGCAGTGCACTGGATGTGGTGTGAACCAAGTTTGGTGGGGTTCTGTCGCGCAGGTGGGCTGGACGCGGCGCCGTGGGCTACCAGGAGCTGGCCGAGGACGGCTTTGCTGTGCTGGGGGAGCGCCTGCGCGGTGGCGAGGAGCGGGATGTGGTGGCCGCGGTGCTGCAGAAGGTCCTTGGAGCCAAGGTGGGGGTGGGCGCGCTCTTGGAGCAAGGCTGGTCAGCACAGACACGCAGGGCAGCAGGGCCGGGACACACACGGCAGCCTGGCAGGCAACTGCAGAACAGGCAGCAAACGGACTCTGCACATCCCACTCTAAGACTACTGCGGCTTTTCCGTGCGCCCTGTTGCAGCTGGATCTTGCCGAGGCTTACCGCCGCAGGGGAGATGCTCCTGTGCAGCAGCTCAGGGCGGCGCTGCAACAGGAGGCTGCTACGGCTGCAGCTGCTGATGGCATGGCAGCAAACGCGACTCCCACCGAGCAGCAGCAGCAGCAGCAGCAGGATGGTGGGCAGCAGCGCAGCACACACAGCGTGGCAGATGTCGCAGCGCTGCGTGCGGCGCTAGGTGGCGTGGTGTGGACGGCCTCCATGCGTAGGATGTGAGTTGGGGGTGGAGAGGGGGAACTTATCCAATAACTTCATGTTTTGAGCTGTGTGGAACGGCTGAGGCTTCCTGTCAGTGGCGCAACGCCATTGACGGCTCAACTCCCCTGAACCTGGCATCGCTACTGTCCGCAGGTTCTTCCCTGTGGAGAGGTGCCTGGAGTTTTCAGAAGCAGCGGTGCTGGTCGGCCAAAACGGGCACCGGCAAGACGACCGTGTGCCAGATGGCGGCGTTTGTGCGGGGCCAGCGCCTGCACATCATCAACTGCAACCAGCACACAGAGGTGTCTGACTTCCTTGGCGGCTTCCGGCCCAACAGGTAAGGGAGCGGGCGAGAGCGGGGACGTCCAGCGGAAAGAGCGGGGACATGGCGCAGGATCATGGGCTGGCAGCAAAGGAGCATCGACAAAGTGTGCAGTGGCCTGGCTTCGCCTCAGCTGACGCCTGCGCTGCTTTGTGCTGCAATCGGTCGTTGCGTGCAGGCACCGCGAGCGCTCACTGGTGCAGATGCAGCAGGCGCTGGCTGCAGTCAATACCAGCCAGTTGCTGAGCGCCGCGGGCCAGACGCCGCTGCTGCCACCCCCCACTCCGGCGGGCGCCGACCTGCAGGCAGTGTTGGCGGGAGGCAAGCAACGGCTAGCAGCGGCAGAGCAGCACGTACGCGAGTGCCTCGCCACTGGTGCAGAGGCCCAGCAGCAGCAGCAGCAGCAGCAGCAGCAGCAGCAGCTAGAGCACCTGCGGGCAGCGGTTGGCAGCCTGGCAGATGCGGTGGCGGGGGTCAGAGCGCCGTTCGAGTGGGCAGATGGCCCGCTGGTGCAGGTAGGGCTAGTAATCTGGTCTTGCTTTGGCGGAGTCTGGTGCGACGTGAAGCCATCGCCCTGGTAGCTCTTACCCAGCTGTCTCATGCACCACTGCCGCGCCACTGCTGCCGCCACCGCTGCCGTGCAGGCCATTCGTCACGGCGACATGATTCTGGTGGATGAGCTCAACCTGGCCGAGGATGCTGTGCTGGAGCGGCTCAACAGGTGCGCCCGTGGCTGCAGAAGTGCTGCTTGCGCTTCATTTATTGTACCAATGCTGCCCGGCTGGGGCGCCGTCACTCCTTTCTACCCCTGTTCACGCGATGCCTACCTCTGCCGCTTCCCTGCCACAGCGTGCTGGAGCCGGGGCGCAGCCTGACGCTGGCTGAGAAGGGTGGCGCTGGGGCGGAGTTTGTGGTGGCGCACCCCGCCTTCCGCATCGTGGCAACCATGAACCCAGGTGGGTGGCTGGCGGGCACCTCTGGCAGGCTTTGGTGCAGCCGCCGAGGCAATGTCAGGGTGGGTGGGTGGGTGGCCCCGTGCCGGAAGGGCGCATTTCACGACTCCTCGCCACCCATGTGCCTGTCCGCTTGCATTATTCTTATGGTGCTCACGGCCACGCCTCACTGACCCCCCCCCCCCCCCCCCCCCCCTTCCTCCCTGCTGTCCCTTCCAGGCGGCGACTACGGCAAGAAGGAGCTGTCGCCGGCCCTGTCCAACCGCTTCACATCCATTTGGGTGCCCGCCATCGAGGACGGCGCTGAGCTGCTGGCCATCCTCGAGTCGCGGCTGGCAGGTGGGCGACGCGAGGCAGCGGCTCGTGGCACCAGCGCTGCCACGTGCTGATGCTGCCTCCCTCTTGCTTGTGCTGAGGTTGTCTGACACTCCTACGCTTGACGCTCCTGGCGCAGATGCCGAGGCCAAGCAGCTGGTGCCGCCCCGCCTGCTCGACTTTTGGCGCTTCTTCAGGGCAGAGGCGGCGCATGCGGCACGCCAGGCGCTATCGGGTAGGGTTTGCTGGCCTCTATGTGAACCTGCTGTGGCCCATGGTGCCTTGCTGCTCACCGTGCCAGCGCTGCACACCGTGCTCGCGCTACAAGGCTTGACTGACCTCTGCTTTCACTTCCCCTCCTGCCGCGGCAGTCCGCGACCTGCTGGCCTGGGCCGGCTTCATAAACGCCGCCGCTGCCCAGCTGGGCGTGCTGCCTGCATACGCGCACGGCGCACACCTGGTGCTGCTGGACGGCATTGGGCTGGGCGTGGGGCTGTCAGCAGAGGTGCGCCTAAGCGCCTGTGGCTGTAGGAGAGCAGAGCAGCCGCTGAGCAACTAGCCTGTGGCACGGATAAGGCACCCAGGGTGGGGCTGACTAAAGTGTATATACTATGCATCCCCTGCACGCATCCTGCCTGCCTGCAGGCGACCCAGTATCTGCGGAACAGGTGCCACGCCTTCCTGCTCACGCAGCTGCCCCAGGAGCTGCACGCCGCGGCAGAGGCAGCGGCCGGCCGCGGCCAGCTGGCTGGTGGAGAGCAGTCCACGGATGGTGGTGAGACAGACATGGAGTTGGATGGGCAGCCGGGTGCCCGCTCACCTTCCCCAGCCCGCTGGGGCATCGCCCCGTTCTTTGTGGAGCAGCAGCAGCGAGGCGGGGGCGGGTCCGGCGGCGCTGCCTTCAACTTCCAGGCCCCCACCACCGGCCGCAACGCGCTGCGCGTCCTACGGGCGCTGCAGGTGGGGATCCCGCCACCCCTGCAGCCTGCTAACACGGGAGACATGCGTGCCCGCAGCTGGCCTCTCCCTGCTGCTTGGCCGACTGTGCTCCTTGCGCTGCTGCGCTCCTCTCCCGCTGCAGCTGCGCAAGCCGATCTTGCTGGAAGGCAGCCCAGGGGTGGGCAAGACCTCGCTCGTTGCCGCCATGGCCAAGGCAGTGGGTGAGCGGCCATCGCAAGCCATCGACCGCCGCTGTTGCTGCCGACCTCATGCCCACCCATCCACACCCGCACAGACCACACAGCCAACGAACACCTGCTGCCTCCCCTGCCGCAGGCGCGGAGCTGGTGCGCATCAACCTCAGCGAGCAGACCGACATGATGGACCTGCTGGGGGCAGACCTGCCGGTGGCGGGGGGCGCTCCTGGGGAGTTTGCCTGGTGGGTGGCTGGGAGGCGGGATGCGTGGGCGCGTGTGCATGCGTGCGCTCCTCCTCCCCCGAGCGCTCTGTGCGTGTGTGTGTGCGGGGGGTGGCTGCGCCATCAGCCTCCAGGTGCATTGCTCGTGCGGCGCAGTAGGCCCACGGCGGTGGCATTGGCGACTGTTCCCTGCCTGGCACGCGGTGCAGGGCGGATGGACCCCTGCTGGCGGCGGTGCGCGGCGGCGCCTGGGTGCTGCTCGACGAGCTCAACCTGGCGGGGCAGACGGTGCTGGAGGGGCTGAACGCGGTGCTGGACCACCGTGCAGAGGTGGGGGGGGGGGAGCAGGGGACTGCGTCGGGGCTCTGCACAGCCCCCGCGGCCGCCTCCTCTCTTGAAACAGCTGGCTGAAGCAGTGCTGGCTGGCGCCGGCGGCCCCGACTGGCCCCCGGCTGGCGCACCCTGAACCTCCCTGTCATCCGAACGCTGAACACCCTACTGCTCCCACACAGGTGTTCATTCCTGAGCTCAACCGCACCTTCCGCTGCCCCCCCACCTTCCGCGTGTTTGGCGCGCAGAACCCGCTGCAGGCATGCCCTGCGCCGCTGCCGTTCGCTGCTGCCAGCCGTCCATGCGTTTGTGTACCGCGTGCGCCTGCCTGCCCCTGGGGCCCGCCCTCACCCTCCCACCCTGCTGCCTGGCCTGCAGGAAGGTGGCGGGCGCAAGGGCCTGCCCAAGTCCTTCCTTAACCGCTTCTCCCGCGTGCATGTGGAGCTGCTGCAGCAGACCGACCTGCTCTTCATTGCAGGCACGCGGGCCGGGCTGGTCAGGCGTACTTTTTGCTGGCCTGACATGAGTTCCTTCGAGAGCAGTGGGTGCCTGCCCTCCCCCTTGCCATGCTCTGCCTGCTCCATGCCCTAAAGCTGCTGCCCTGCTGCCTGCTCCCCTGGAATGCGCTTGCCTGCAGGCGCGCTGCACCCGCGCATCCCGCCGCACACCCTGCACCGCATGGTGGCCGCCCTGCAGCGCCTGCACCACGACGCCAACGTCAGGTGGGTGGCGGAGGTGGCAGGGACGCAGCAGCTGTCAACCCTGCAGGGGAGCAGCAGGCGGTGCCTTTGCTGACTGAACAGAGCATGGGTGCTGCCATGCTATAGCCCTCAGCTCCTCCCCACAACAGCTTCACACCTATGCTTGTGGGCTCGCCCCCACCCTCCCGCCGTGCAGCCGCTGCTTTGCGGGGGCGGGCGGCCCCTGGGAGTTCAATCTGCGTGACCTGCTGAGGTGGTGTGAGCTGGCGGAGACGGCGGTGCCAGCTCAGCAGGACGCCCACGCGGCAGCAGCGGCCGGCGGCCAGCAGCTGGCAGCTGGCGGCGGCGAGGTGGCGGCGCTGGATGCGGCCGTGCGGCACTACGCGGGCCTGCTGTTTGTGCAGCGCCTGCGCACGGCAGACGACCGTCAGCATGCGACAGAGGCATTTGCTGAGGCGTGGGGCCAGCAGGAGCAGCAGCAGCAACAGCAGCAGCAACACCCGGAGCTGCACATCTCGGCTGACGCCCTGAAAATTGGCTTGGCCCGCCTGTCGCGCGCCAGCAGCGCGCCCCCCGCCGCAGGCGGCCGCAGCACAGCTGAGCAGCTGGCGCTGCTGCCCAGCCAGCTGCCTGTTCTGGAGAGTTTGGCAGGTGAGAACATGCCGATTGGTAGGGAGGAGGGCCCCATCCCACCAGCACCCCTCATTTTGTGACCTCCCATCTGCTTCGCCCCCCCTGTAGAGTGCGCCGCTCGGAGTTGGATGTGCCTGCTGGTGGGGCCCGCCGCCGCCGGCAAGACGGCGGCTGTGCGCACGCTGTCGGCGCTGTGCGGCCAGCCTCTGCTGGAGCTCAGCCTCACCTCTGGCACCGACACCAGCGACTTGCTGGGCGGCTTTGAGCAGGTGGAGGCGGCGCGCAAGGTCCAGGTGAGGAGCGGCGGCGAGGGGACGGCAGGGTAGCAGCCGGCATGAGGCCGTCTGACAATTGATTGCTGTGTGGCTACTCACACCGCTGCATGCACTGGACGATCCTAGTCAGTATCCGGCTCGGGGGCCTGTGCCTGTTTGGTGCCTGGAGGCTTGGGCTCAAGCTGCGCTGCCCGCCCCCTCTTGTGGCAGGAGCTGGTGAGGGAGGTGCAGGCACTGCTGGCCGCGGCCGCCGACGTCCTGCTGCCCGCGCTGCGCCCCGCCCAGGCCCAGCACCAGCAGCTGCTGCAACTGCTCGCCCAGGCGTGGCAGGCGTGCTCAGCAGCTGCCAGCCTGGATGCCGAGGCGGCGGCGTCTGGCGCCGATGTGGCTGCAGCGCCCTCGGCAGACGCACAGCATGCGCGGCAAGTGGCGGCGGTGCAGGCGCTGCAGCAGGTGCTGGCCCAGCTGCTCCAGCTGCTCTCCAGCCTGCAGCAGCAGCAGCTGGGGCTGCCAGACGCCGATGATGGCATGCTGGCACAGCAACGGATGCAGCGCGCCGAGCACGAGGCAGCCAGCGCAGCGGACAGGGCCGTCGAGCTGGCGGCTGGGCTGGCGGCCGGCGCCGAGTCGGCAGCGGGCAAGTTTGAATGGGTGGACGGCGCTCTGACGCGGTGAGAGGCTGTGGGAGGCGGCACACCTGCCATTGCGCTTCACTGTTGGGTGCCCCGCCTTAGGGTGCCTGCCCTTCGAGCCCACCCCCCGCCCGTCGCTCCCATCCGTGCAGCGCCGTTGAGCGGGGCGGCTGGGTTCTTCTGGACAGCGCCAACCTGTGCAACCCCACGGTGCTGGACCGGCTCAACCCGCTGCTGGAGCCGCAGGGTGGGTGGAAAGCACCGGCGGTGGTAGTGGTGTGTGGGTGGGGCGTGGAGAGCGGGTTGGGAGGGTATGAGAGAGGGCAGCAGAGGGGTGACCTGGTGCATGCTTGCATGCACCAATGCCAGCAGCGCCGACGACTGTAGCTACCCGCCCCCTGCCCCTCTCCAGGCGTGCTGCTGCTCAATGAGTGCGGCGGCGGCGGCGGTGCGCGTATCGTGCGCCCCCATCCCAACTTCCGCCTCTTTCTAGCGCTGGACCCCCGGTGGGTGGGCGGTGTGGCGGGCAGGCTGCAGGGGGGGGACCAGGCAGATGAGAGTGGTTGGTGGATGCAGGTGGTGGCAGGGGCGGACGCCAGGCACCAACTGGCTGTGCTGTTGCTGCTGCCAAGATGTGTGGTGTCCCGGGACACGTCACTTGCGCATTGCATCCACTAGCTTCAAAATTCTGCCCCCCACGCCTCGCCGATGTAGGCACGGCGAGGTGTCTCGTGCCATGCGCAACCGCGGCATCGAGATCTTCCTGCTGCCGCCACGCGAGCAGCAAGCGGCGCCAGCCGCTGCACCGGGCCTCTGCCAGCATGGCGAGCTGCAGCAGGTGCTGGCGCTGGCAGGCATCCCCGGCACCGCCATCCCGGCAGCCATGGCAGCCGCTCATGCAGCGGTGGTGGCGCACGCGGCGCAGCGCCACAGGCGGCCGCCCGGGCTACGGGAGCTGCGACGCTGGGCGGCCCTGGCTGCTGCGCTTGCGGGCAGGGGCTGGCCGTTTGCCGCTGCGCTGCACACCGCGTGGCGCCAGCTGTACGTGCGCTCTGAGGCAGTCGCAGCGGCCGGTGCGGATGAGGCATCGGCAGTGGCAGAGGCGGCTTTTGAAGTGTGTGTGCTGCCACAGCTGCAGCACGCGGACGGCAGTGGCGGCGATCTGGTTCTGCACCGCCCAGCTGCCTGGCCGCTGCCTCTTGGGGCCGCAGAGTTTGCTGCCGACTCGGCAGGTGCCTGCCTGGGCAGAGATGCAGCGGTGCTTTTGCAGCATCTGGCTGTGCTGGCTGCCGCTCAGCAGCAGCAGCACGGCAGCAGCGACGGTGGCACGGCGCGTGCCGAGCTGGGCAGCAGTCGAGACGCATGGGTGGGCGAGCTTGGTCTGGCGGCAGCGGCAGCCATGCCGGCAGCGCAGCTTGTGCAACTGCTGTCAGGCGGCGGCCTGCCAGGCAGCAGCATGGATTCGGATGTAGAAGCAGCAAGTGAGAGCGATGCGCCTGCGGCCCTCTTGTGCGCCCCGCCAGCAGCTCGAGTTTTTGCAGAGCGCTGCGGAGCTGCACATGGCGGCCGGCGTGCCGCACATGCAGCTGCGCTAGCAGCCCAGCTCCAACGGCTGCTTGGCGCCGGCAGTGGCGCCAGCAGCCAGGCCCTGACTGCAGCGCACCTGGCTGAGAGGATGGTTTCGGGCGTGCTGGCGCACCCCCTGGCAGCAGCAGCTGCCGCCCTTCAACAGCAGCTGGCGGCTGCGGTACAGCTGCCAGAAGCCGACCGCGCTTTCCTGCCGCTGGATGCGGCAGGTGCGCAGCAGCTGCAGCCGTACATGCTGGCAGCAGGGCTGAGAGCCGACGGCGACGCCAGCAGTGCTAGCGCCAGCCTGCAGCAGCTGTGGCAGCAGGTGATGGAGGTCAGTGGCAAGGTGGCCGCGCTGTGGCATGCTGTGCACGCAGCCGTGGAGCTGCGCTCGGTGGCGGCAGCGGCAGACGAGGCGGTGGCGGACGGCAGCGCCACGCTGCTGCAGCTCTCGTGCTGGCGGCACCAGCGACCCAAGGTGAGGCTGGCGGGCACATTGTTGTGTTGCCTCTGCACTGCTGGGCGTGGCATGCATGCACAGCCAGCGGGGCGGGTCTGCATGTACGAATGCCAACAGCCAAATTGGTATGAAGGAATGTTTGGCTGCATGTATAGTACTTCAGCCCTGGCACGCCTGTGGCTCACTGTCGTGCCGTGCTGGCATTGCAGGAGCGGGCGCGCAAGGCAGCAGTACATCCCACCGTGGACTGGCTGTACGCTGTACTGCTGGCGGTACAGATGCTGGAGGAGGCGCTGCTGGTGCCTGGCAGCGCCCAGTACTCAGGCCCGCCCTGGGGCAGCGGCGTGGCCAACAAGGTGAGCTCGCTTCTCTCCCTGGGGGCACCTCCCCTAAGCTGTCCCTGATGATGCACGCCTTTTGGGGTGGGGCCTCGCTGGGCCTCACACATTCCATTCAAGCTGCCGCTGCTGGCAGTCTTCCCATCTCCATCAATGGCGCGATGTATGATGTGCCGCTGCACCTGCCTGTTTTGGAACGGTTGCCCCCTGCAGCTGCGTGCTGCCCAGCAGTGGCGCTGGGCGCTGCTGCGTGCTCTGCACCACGAGTGCGAGTCCCGGCAGCCGGCAGCGCTGCCGCATCACTACGAGCAGCTGCTGTTTGGCTGGATGCGCCTGCGTAAGGCAGTGGCGGCGCTGCTCGCGGCAGCTGGAGCGCGGGATGAGGCTCGTGAGCAGGAGGGTGGATGGGCGGATGCACGTCAGCGCTGGGCGGCAGCTGCGGAGCAGCTGGACGTTGCGGCCGGCATCGCTGCTGGCGCCCCACCTCCCAAGCCGCTGCTGTGGAAGCACGGCGGCCGGCCGCTGCTGCCGCGCTCAGAGGCTCTCAGCACTGCCTACTGCCAGCTGCTGGCGCTCTGTGATGCCAGCAGGTGAGGGGGTGGGAGGCGTGCATGCTGCGGTGGCCCTTTTGCGAGATTCGGCGCTTCATCGAGTGTGCGCCATCCTCTACTCCCCTCCCACCATGATCGACACGTGCTGCTGCTTGCAGGGTGGGTGTGGACGGCTTTGCGGCGGACCACCGTGGCCAGCCGGCAGCCCTGTCTGCTGCTGGCATCCACCTGCCTCTGCTGGATCTGGAGATCGCCGAGCAGGAGCTGCAGCCGCCGCCGCAGCAGCCGCAGCAGCGGCTGGGGGCAGAGGAGCGCAGCCTAGTGGCGGCTGCTGCGGCGGCAGAGGTGGCAGCAGACCCAGCTGTGCGGGGTGCGCTGCTGGAGGGGCTGTGCCTGTTTGTGTCTGGCGCACTGCTTGCCCAGCCGCCGGGGCAGCCGGTGCCAGCTGATGGCTCCAGCGAGGAGGCGCAGCTGGAGGCGGTGCTGCCGCTGCTGCGAGGCAAGGTCCAGCAGCGGGCAGAGGCGGCGGCAGCGGCGGCAGCGGCCCTGCTGCAGACGCGCGTGGCCCTGCCTGCGCTTGGGGAGGAGGACGATGATGAAGACATGGACGGTCTGGCTGCTGCGGGCGACGGCGGGGCCAGGGGAGAGCAGCGGGGCGTGCTGGTGCCTGTGGCACTGCTGACCTCTGGCGACGAGCCGGATGGTGCCGGGCTGCTGCCCACCGCTCTGCCAGCAGAGCTGCTGCAGTTCCCAAGCTGTCGCCAGCTGCAGCTGCAGCTGCTGGCCCTCCAGGATGCGCAGCTCAGCCGCAGCCAGCTGCAGCTGCTGGCTACAGGCGGCCTGCTGCGCCTGCTGCTGCTGGGCCAGGGCAGCAGCACAGTGGAGCAGCAGCAGGCGACCCCCGCCACCCTGCCTGGCACCTTGCGCCGGCTGGTGGCAGCCATGAGCGGCAGCGGTGCCAGCAGCGTGGCCGACACGGCCTCCTACCAGCTGCTGCTCTGGCTGCTGGAAGCGGAGCAGCAGCAGCCTGGGGCTAGCGCTGGCGAGTGGCAGCAGCTGCTGCGGCGCTCGCTGGTTCATGAGACGTGGTGGCGATGGCAGCAGGGCCTGTGGAGTGGTGCTGCCGCTGCGCTGCCAGCCACGCATGCCGGTGCTGTGGCAGCGACGGTGCAGCAGCAGTGGGCGGCGGCGGCAGCGGGCCCGCTGCGCATGCACATTGGTGCGGGTACAGTGCTGGCCAGCGCTGTGACTGTGGGCCCGGCCACCCTGATAGCAGACCGCTCAGCCCGCCTGCTGCAGCTGAAGTTTGCTGCTCGGCAGCTGCGCACAGCCGCGGCAGCCGGCGAGGGCAGCAGCACGCAGCAGCCGTCTGCGGCAGCGGCAGCAGAGTGGGCGGCAGCAGCGGCGACAGCAGCTGCCACCATTGCCGCCCATCTGCCCAGCGTCCCCGCCCAGCATCAGCGCCTGCAGGTGGAGGCCGCACTCGGCTGGCTGGCAGGAGAGCGCTGCACAGCCCCTGCTGCTGCCCAAGCGCAGCAGCAGGCACAGCAGGATGCCCAGCTGCTGGCGCTGGTCGGCGACGCTCTGGCCAGCAGCAGCCACCCTGTGCTCCGGGATCTGCTGCAGCCCGTGCTGCTGCCTGCCCTGGAGGGTCTGCTGAATGGGATCATCGCAGCGCCAACCATGAGCACCCAAGGTGAGCGTGAGGTAGAGGCGACGGCAGGCCTGCTGAGCATGCATCGCCCGTCGTTGGCCGCTGGCTGCTTTCCCTGCCCCAACTTTGATCGACGAGCACCAACTGAATGCCTTTGGCTTGCTTGCCTGCCTGCCTGCAGAGGGCCTGCTGGCACGCGGCCGCGTGTGGGCTCTGCTGGCCCTCCTGCGCCTGCACCTGCTGCTGCCCCCTGTGGGCGCCGACCCGGCAGCCAAGTACGGCTTGGTGCGGCAGCACACGCTGAGCCTGCTGCGGTGCCAGGTGGAGCCTGAGCTGGCGGTGCGGAGGCAGCATGCAGCCTTGCCAGGTGCGCCCCTCTGCTCGCCTGCCGGTGCCTGGAAATGGGTTGGATGAGGGGCACCTGCACATGTTCCCGCATCCAACAGCCCCATGCGGCTCTTGCTTGTTGGCAACCCTGCTCTGGCCTCGCCTCATCCACCCTGCACAGCTCCTCTCGTGTGGTTGAAATCTGCCAGCCACCGCCTCCTTGCCCCCATGTGCAGGTGGCCCCGACGAGTCGGCACGCATTGCTGAGCTGGAGGCACGCTGCCAGGAGCTGGAGCAGGCGGCAGAGCGGCTGCAGAGGCGCAGCACGCCCCGCCCCACGCCCCCGCAGTACCTCACAGTAAGAGGCTATCGTCCGCTGCCTTGGTCTCGTTGCGTGCTTGCACTGCTGGGTGTAGGGATGTCCTGTTGGCTGACAATCGCTCCTGCCCCACTCGCCACCGGACTGCAGCTGCGTGATGACGTGGCACGATTCACGGCCAGCTTTGGCTCCGTGCCGCGCGTGCTGGGGACCTTGTCACAGCTCAGGCACGCTGCTGTCTTGCCCCTCATATGCGCCTGCTGCACGTACAGTGCATGCAGGGCGCAGGCGTGCGCCTGCGCAGCTGCCTTGCCTGCCCATTCACTGCCTGCTCTGGCCACCACCTGTGCAGTAGTTCTAACGCCGAGGAGGCCGCTGCCGGTGCGACCCAGGCGGCTGTGTGGCAGCAGAATGCGGCGGCGTGGGCAGAGCGACTGGGTCGCCAGTATCCTCTGTACCGTGATGTGGCACAGCCGATACAGTTGGCAGTACAGGAGCTGCGGTACGGCCTGGCGCTGATGGCTGGCAGCACCGCCTTGGCAGAAGCTGCCCCAGCCAGCCAGCTGGCCCCAGTGCTGGCCCGTCTCATGGCGTTCCCTCGTGCTGCTGCTGCTGCTTCTGGCAACGGTTTCCCTGCGGCGGTCCAGCTGGACAGCCCAGCTGTTCAGCAAGCAGTGGCGGATGCTGCAGCAGCTGCGGCGTCGGAGGCCCGCAGCCAAGCTGCTGCTGCTGCTGCCATTGCGCCAGGCGGCGACGTGGCAGAGCAGGCAAAGCGTGGCGCATATGCCGCTTCCATGTCGGCCCGCCTGCAGCTGCTGCGGTGCTCGCTCAGCGCTGCCGCCAGGGATGCCGAAGCGGCACGGCTGGGCTCTGGCGGCGGCGCTGGGGCCCAAGCCTCTGCTGCCGCGGTGGCAGCTGCGCAGCAGCGGCTGCATGCCATCTTTGGCGGTGAGTCCTGCATGCTCTAGTCGGTGTGCTGCCAAGCAAACCCTTGCATTGCGCGTTCAACTGTCCCTGCCAGCCCTGAACACCCTGCAAACGCTGCTGCCCCGCAGAGTTTGTGGGGGCGTGGGAGGATGTGAAGGCGGAGGAGGAGCGGCGCGCGGCGGCAGAGGCGGAGGTGTTCAAGCACAAGGCTCGCTCCACCGACATTGCCAGCGAGGAGCAGGTGGGCTAGAGGGCATACGCAGCGGCGGCCTGCATGGGCCTCTGTTGCTGTCGCCCACCTCCCCACTTGAGCTCGGCCACAGGGCCTGCTGTTTTGTTTAGTGGTTCATGCGTCAGCCCGCCCCGCCTGCCCTGCAGGAGGACGAGGAGGATTACCAGCGCCGCTTCCCCGACCAGTTCGCTCACTTTGCTGACCTGGCGCCAGACGAGCAGCCCGACACGCTGGCAGGCGCCAGCGAGGCGGCCGCTGCGGGCGCCGTGGCCGCCGCTGCGGCAGCTGCTTCCGGCCGGCAGCAGGACAGGGAAGAGCAGCTGCAGGGGGCCGCCGTGCTGTCGGTCAGGGAGCTTGTGCTGGGGGGTGTTCTGCAGGAGCTGGTGGCAGTGCATGCCTCCAGCTTTGGCAGCCCCTCGAGCGAGGCACCGGCAGATGGCGCAGGCAGGCATGGCACCAACACCCCGGCAGCAGACTTCCTGCGCTCTTATGAGCTGGGGGTGCAGCTGCTGCGTGCGGCGGGGCTGGTGGTCCCGGCAGGCGTGGACGCCGCCACCGGCACCGGCCACCTGTACGCCGCCTGCTGCCGCTTCCGCCAGCTGGCGCAGCCGGCGCCCGCCAGGCTGGATACGGGCGCCACCGCGGGGGTGGACATCCAGGCGGCCTGCGTGGAGGAGGCTGTGCTGGTGCAGCAGCCGGCGCTGGCCCTGCGCCACCGCCTGTGCCAGCTGCTGGAGGAGTGGCCTGAGCACCCGGGACTGCTGCAGGCGAGCAGCTGCAGCCCCCAGCCCCCAGACTGCCCTGCCGTGCTTGCCCAGCCCTGCCCCACCATGCTCTCCTCACAGTGTTGCCTCAAGGCGCCTCTGCATGACAGCCTACCCTGCCCCACCCGCCCGCCCTGCCCCTGCAGCTGTCTGCTGTGATTGACCGGCTGCTGAGCATGCCGGTCACCGCGCCGCTCAAGGCGATGCTGACGGGCGTGGAGCTGCTTCTGGCCAAGGCGCAGGTGGGTGCGGTGCAGCTTGCGGTGCAGCCCCTGGACAGCGGCATGTGCAGGCCCTGCGCCGTGTTTTGCTGGGATTTAAGCTCACCGGAGGGGCGTTCCCCCACCACAGCTACCCTCTTGAGCCACGGTGTGCTGGCTGCCCACGCACTCCTGCAGCAGTGGGAGGAGACAGCCGCCCGCCACGTGTCGCTGGCCCCCCAGCTGGCCCCGCTGTCGGCGCTGGCCACGCGCTGGCGCCGGCTGGAGCTGGGGGCGTGGCGGGGGCTGCTGGACTCCACACGGGAGCGCGCCGCGGCAGTGGCGCATCAGGTTGGGCGGTCGCTTCACACATGCACCTGGCTGCCTGCTTGTGAGTTGCTCAGCCCGCCAGCCAACCATCTGGCTGTCACTGTGCCTGCTCCCGCAGGCCTGGTTCCACCTGTACCGCATCCTGCTGACCGCTGATGACCTGGCGGCTGCTGATGTGGCGCCCACTGTTGAGCAGTTCATGCAGGCAAGTGTCGGCTGCCCAGGGGCGCGCTCCTCCTACACCTCTGGGCTTCTTCCTGCAGAAGGGCACTGGCCTCCTTGCCTGCTGGCATATAGATGCCACATACACCTCTGTGCTGATACTGGTCGCCTCCATCACCCCCCCTGCAGTCCTCCCCTCTGGGCGAGTTTGGCTCACGCCTGGCGCTGCTGGAAGCCTTCCGCCGCCAGCTGGCCGCCATGTCAGCGTCCGGAAGTGCCAGCTCAGCACCGGTGCCACCAGACGACGGTCCTGCACATCATGGTGGTCAGGAGCAGCAGCAGCGGCGCTGGCGCCAGCTCAGCGCCGTGCTATTCAATGTGGTGCGCTACTACCGCCAGTTTGAGGCTGCGGTGCAGCGCCAGGTGGCGGCAGGGATGGCGGAGCTGGAGAAGGCGCTGCAGGTGGGCGTCTGTTTGTTGCGTGTGTGTGTGGGGGGGGCAGGCTTAGTAGCGGCGGCGCCTGGCACCGCGAGTTTGCCAATATACCAGGCTGTGAGTTGGTGCCTGCTGCGCCCCACCTATCCTGACGTTGTCAGCCCTTGCTTGCCCCTCCCTGCCTGCCTGCCAGGACTTTGTGGCTCTGGCCAAGTGGGAGGACCGTGGCTACTATGCGCTCAGGTAGGCTGGGGGCCGGGTGATGTCAAAGGGCATGGAACTAGGAGGTGCAGCGCCACTGTAAGGTCCTCAGGGCTGCCTGCCTCATCCTCTTGCATGTGTGATGTGAGCGGCTGCTGGTGATCATGTGATCGCCACCGCCTGGCCTGCAGGGTGAGCAACGAGAAGGCGCAGCGCCAGCTGCACCGCCTCACCCGCCGGGCCAGCCAGCTTCTGCGCGAGCCTGCCACGGCGGCTCTGGCGGCGGCCGCCAAGGCCATGGGCTTCGCGGACCTGCAGCTGCAGCAGCAGGAGCAGCAGGCAGCGCAGGCCGAAGCCGCGGCAGCCGCGGCGGGGGCGGCGGGCAAGAAGCGCCGGAGGAGCAAGAAGGCTGCCGAGGCGGCTGCGGTGGCTGCCGAGGCGGCAGCAGAGGCTGAGCGCGGCCTCGCCGAACCGGTGGTGGCAGCTGCCGCCATGGCTGCTGCCAGCACCGCAGCTGTGCAGCAGCTGGCCAGCGCCGGCATCCAGCAGGAGTCGGCGGCTGCCCCAGCAGTGGTTGCGGGCAGCAAGTATGCCGGGCAGCTGCCGCGCCTGACGCGCCGCTTTGCAGAGGTGGCCGCCTCGGCGGTGGGCTCTGAGGATGCTGCCGCGGGCGCTGCCGCCGTGGACGACTTGGCGGGGGAGGCAGCCGGGCGCGCTTTGGAGCTACGCACCGATGTGGCAAAGGGCGCAAAGGCACGCAAGAAGAAGGCTCTTACTGGTGAGTGGACAGGGCTGGCAGCGTTGAACCAATATTGGGCTCGCCTCGCTTACGGCCCTTCTCCCGCCTCCGCCCGCTGCAGACCTGTTCCGGGCGCTAGCGGCGGCGGGGGTGAGCCGGCGCCGCACGGCGGTGCCTGCCGCCCAGCGCGGCAGCCAGGCCTGGTTTGTGCAGCAGGCCGCCGACCCGGCGCCGCTGCTGGGAGCAGCTCCGGGTGACTCGTCAGGCCCAGCAACAGGCGGGGCGCTGGCGGCGGCGTGGCCGGGGCAGGAGCAGCAGGCTGCTGCGGCACAGCGGTGCTGGGCAAAGGCGGATCGCTACTACTTTGCCAGCATGGCGCGGCTGCAGAGGCTGTGGGAGGTGAGGGCCCCCGCTTGTGACGTTCTGCAGAGGTGCCACCACCTGTCTTCAGCAGGGCCACACTCCACTCATAACGCTAACCCGCGCTTCTGGGCATCAGCCACGCTGTGCTCTCTCCCAGCCCCCAGCCTGAGCCTATGTCTGTGCTGCTCCTGCACCGCTGTCTGCAGGCGGCCAAGCAGCCGCATGGCGACCTGTCTGGCGCGGAGGTGGAGGGCAGCGTGCGCAGCGTGGAGCACCTGCTGTGGCTGACGCAGCGCACCAGGTCCACGCTGGGCACGCTGAGCGACAGCTACCGCCAGCTCAGCACGCTGCACGCAGCCCTGAGTGCACTGGCCGCCGGCGGTGATGCCGGCAGCCCCGAGGAGCGGCAGGGAGCAGAGGGAGGGTCAGCCCTGGTGCCTCCGCAGGAGCGATGCGGGGCATGGTACCAGGCGCAGCGGCGCACGCTGGCCTTGCTGTTGCATCAGGCAGAAGAGACTGCTGAGCTGCTGGCGGCGGCAGCTGCCACCGAGACGGCGGCTGCGCCGCGCAAGCAGCTGCAGCAGGGCGGGCAGCAGGCGGCCGCAGCCGCAGCAGCGGTGCGTGGGTGCGCCAACCGGCTGGCGGCTGCAACCCAAGGCGCGGTGGCGCTGCCGGCTGGTGGTGACCCAGTTGGACGTCTGTTCTTGCCAGGCAGCGTGCTGGCAGCCCTGCAGGCCAATGCAGCGGCACTGCGGTCGCTTCACCAGGATCTGGAGGCAGCCACGGCGACGCAGGCAGAGCAGCTGCCTGGCTGGTCTGGCCTGACTGCCGCTGTGGCGGAGGCTGCGCGCCAGTCGGCCGCCGCCGGCGCAGAGCTGCACTCTGGCACATCAGTCTCTGCTTCAGTGCCAGCCGAACAGCAGCTGGCTGAGCATCTGGAGTCAGCGGTAGCAGCTGCTCTGATCTGGGCACAGAACGCCAGGCCAGCGGCAGCGGCAGCCGAGAGCTATGTGCAGCAGGAGGCAGAGGAGGCGGAAGCGGAGGTGGAGCAGGTGCCGCTGCCTGAGCTGGTGCAGCGGTTGGAGCAGCGCCTGTGCCTGCACAAGGCCGAAGAGCTGTCCTCCCACACGGCGGCGGTTCTGGCGGCAGTGGCTGCCGCCAGCGACCTGCCTCCCAGCGCTGCTGCCCGCGAGAAGCTGGCGCAGCTGGCGGGAGCCGCGGCGGGCCTGGCGCCGCTGCTGGGCCTGCTGCTGTGTGCGCTGCGCCAGCTGGGCCTGCAGTACCTGGCGGTACACAAGGCGGCTGCCAAGCTGTGCTACATCTCCGCCTCCCTCTTTGCCGGCGTGGTGCAAGAGGGCTTCTGCATGCCGGAGGGGACCGAAGGTGAGACCGTCCCCACACCCTGTTGGTTTGTGCCCGTGCGGTCAGCAGCTGGTTGGCGGCAGCCTGGCATGCACTGGCCCCGGTTTCCCTGCCGTTGACCCCTTCTGTCCTCCCTGGTCCTGTCCCAATGTGTCTGCAGGCGAGGCGGAGGAGGGAGGCGATGGTAAGACCATTGACGGCACCGGGCTGGGCGAGGGCGACACCACCGGCGCCAAGGACATCTCAAACGAGGTGCGTGGGTGGCTGGTGGCGGCTGGTGGCAGGGCAGGAATAGGGTGGCTGCTGGGCACCTGTTGCCTAGCCTGGTGGTGCAGCGTCGGGATGTCACTTCCAATCTTGTTGGGCCACCATCTCTGATCTTTGATCCCTGATCCCTGTGCCGCCACTCTTTTGTACTCACAGCTGGAAGACCAGGACCAGCTGCTGGGGGCCAAGCAGAAGGACGCAGAGGAGCAACAGAAGGAGCAGGAGGAGAAGCTGGGCCCGCAGGAGGAACAGAAGCAGCAGCAGGGTGCGCCGCCCCACGCTAGCCCCCTGCCCATGCCTTTCCAGTCATGTCCACGCCGACCTCACAGGTCCAGGACTCCCCCTGGGAAGCTCCCCCTGCTCCGAGCACGCAGCAAGGCGTCACAGCCTCTGCCGTCGCATGCCGTTTCTTTCCCCCGCAGGAGTGGAGATGGATGACGACTTTGAGGGCGCTCTGGAGGATGTGCAGCAGGATGAGCAGCAGTCCGGTGGGTCCCCCTGCGGCAGCGCAGCGCTATACTTTCTTCTGCCTTTGCTGTCATGTTGTTCAAACTCGATGCTCTGCTGCCTTGTGGCGTCCGTCCCTATTGGCCGTCCCGCAGGTGGTGAGTCTGGTGACGAAGAGGAAGGAGAGGAGCGGGTGGATCAGCAGATGGGCGAGGCGGGGCCGGAGGGTGAGGATGTGGATGAGCGGCTGTGGAACGAGGAAGACAAGGAGCAGGAGCAGCAGGGCCAGGTGCGGTGTGGCAGGCGGCAATGGAGGTGCTGCCGGTCCCAGCAGGGGAAGGTTGCGTTGGTTCACGTGGGGTCGCGGAGATGCCAAGAAGCCTTGGCCCCAGCTCATTACCAATACGCTTGTGAATGTGTGCCACTCATTGCCTCACATCTGCTGCAGGAGCAGGAGGGCGCCGATGACCGCTCGCTGCAGGTTGGGGACAAGTCCCAGCTGGATTATGCAGCGGGCGGCGAGGAGGACGAGGAGCAGGCGCAGGAGGATGAGGGGAAGGAGGGGCAGCAGCCGCAGGCTCAAGAGGGAGGGGCGGAGGAGGAGCAGCCGCAGCCGCAGGCCGGCGTCGAGGAGGAGCAGGAGGAGGAGGAGGCTGGGGACTATCAGGACAGGTGCGGGCATGGGCGGAGAGCGCTGGGCAGTAGGGAATTGCTGAGCAGCAGGCAGTGTAGATGAGCTGTGCTTGAAGTGGTGACGACAGCAGCAGCTGGGGCTGTCCTCGTGAGCACCTGCCTGCTGAGGCAGCCACCCAGCGTCCAACCGATGGCACCCCTGCTTTGCCTCCTCTGCTGCCTGCAGGCCCGAGGACCGTGGGCATGTGCAGCCCGAGGGCGCGGAGCCGGACTTTGAGCTGCCCGAGGATCTCAACCTGGATGGCGGCGAGGAGGGCGCCGGCGAGCAGGAGGAGGAGGAGCAGGTGGTGCCGCTGCGCATTCCATCCAGCGCAAGCACCAGCAGCAGCATGTTGGGATGCAGCCACATGTCTGCACCTGCCTGTCTTTGGCTGTTTTTGCTGCTCAGCTTCGCTCGCTGCAGGCGGTCCTGTTCTGGCCACTCACAGCCCGCTCGCCGCTCGCTGCTGCCGCTGCCGCAGGCTGGCGACATGGATGCCGAGGAGCAGCAGCAGCCTCAGGAGCAGGGCGGCACATTCCCAGAGCAGCAGCAGGCCGAGGAGGAGCGGCAGGGAGAGGAGGGGCCGGCAGCAGACGAGGACATGGAGGAGGCAGCGGGTGGCGGTGGCGACGGCGAGGAGCAGCAGCAGCCTGAGGCAGAGGCGGGGCAGCTGCAGGCGGGTGAGGCTGAGGGCATGGATGCCGAGGAGGAGCAGGAGGAGGAGGAGGAGGAGCAGGAAGGGCCGGTGGCGCCAGATGTGTCCAAGGCAGACGGCGAGGAGCAGCAGCAGGAGGAGCAGCAGCAGGCAGAGGCGGGGCCGCTGGGCCTCCCTTCTGCTGCTGCCGCTGCCGCCGCCGCCGATCGAGGCACCGGAGCTGCGGAGCAGCAGGAGGAGGAGCAGCAGCAGGAGCAGCAGGAGCACGCGAGCGCCCAAGAAGCAGCAACAGCAGCACCTGCCAGCGGAGCAGAGCCTCCGCCGGACGCATCCGGCAGTGCTGTCGGCGCCTCGGATGGTCTGCAAGACGACCCGGCCGCCTCTGCTGCTGCCGCCGCTGGCCGCCACCAGCAGCAGCGGCAGAAGCAGGCGCAGCAGCCCCAGTCGGATGCCAACCCCTTCCGCAACCTAGGTCCGCCTGCATTCTTGCTGGATGTCTGCCTGGCTGCTGCCTTCGTGTTCTCAAAGGATCGCGCTGGCGATCTGCCGACTTCTGGCTGAGCTACCTCTGGTTGCTTGCCCATGCCGCCATGCCTTGCAGGCAACGCCATGGAGCGCTGGCGCGCTCGCCTCAACATTGCGGCGGATGCCCCCGAGCAGCAGCAGCCCGGCCAGGAGGCAGAGGCTGCGGCTGCTGAGCAGATGGAGGCTGAGCAGCAGCAGACTGAAGAAGCCGCCGCAGCCGCAGAGTACCGCTTCCTGGGGCAGCAGGAGCAGCAGCAGGCGGGCGATGCGCAGGCGCTGGCCCCGGCCACAGAGGACCAGGCAGCTGCGCAGCGGCCGCAGCAGGACGAGGAGCAGGCCGGCGAGGGCGGCGGCAATGATGTGGCTGCTGGGGAGGAGGAGCGGGGCGAGGATGAGGAGGCGATGGACGCCGATGAGAAGCTGCGGGGCGACCAGCAGCAGCAGCAGCAGCTGATGAGCGGGACGGCCAACTGGGGCGCTGGCGCGGACCGCAAGGCGGGGCTCGAGGCGGGGGATGGGGCGCAGGATGAGGCGCAGCAGGAGCAGGATGGGGTGGGTGAGGAGGCTGAGGAGCGGCAGCAGGAGGGCGAGGGAGTGGATGGCGAGGCTGGACAGCAGGCGGCAGATGAGAGCTACGTGGCGGCGCGCCTGCTGGCAGCCAGCCTGGAGGACGGCGCCCCCGCGGAGGAGGTACGCTGTCGGCACCTGCCCGCCCCAACCACTTGTGTGTGCGACGTGGTGTCGCAGCCGCTGCCCTGCCATCCCCTTGCATGCCTCCTTGGCCCCGGCACAGCACACACGCCGCTGCACTTCCTCGCCTCCTCGCAGTGGGCTCTGGCCGGGCTGAGCGAGGAGGCGGCGGCTGCGCTGCGGGAGCAGCTGGATGCGCGCCTGCAAGGCGCCAGCGAGGGCTCCGCGCCGCTGCCCGACGCCGCGGCGGAGGCGCACGGGCGGGAGGTGTGGGCGCGGTGCGAGGCGCTGACGGCGGGGCTGGTGGGTGAGCTGGCGGAGCAGCTGCGCCTGATCCTGGAGCCCACCCTGGCCAGCCGGCTGGCGGGGGACTACCGCTCCGGCAAGCGCATCAACATGAAGAAGGTGCGGCTGGGGTGCTGGGCGTGTCAGTGGTGCATTGTCGACTTCATATTTGCCAGCCGAGCTTGCGCTCCGCCCTGCTCCGCGCCTGGCCTGCATTCTGTGGGTGGCTGAGCATAGAGCACCCCCTCATGCTGCTTGCTCCTCTTCCCCTGCCCTCCAGGTGATTGGCTACATCGCCAGCCACTTCCGCAAGGACAAGATCTGGATGCGGCGCACGCGGCCCGACAAGCGCAAGTATCAGGTGCTCGGCGCGGGCGGTAGGCGGGCGGCCACCGACGCCCGGTGCAGGCTGAGCGATCCGGCCGGGTTCGGACTTGCATCTTATGTGTGCGAGCCTGCTGAACTGGGGCGCCAACCCCGCTGTCCCATCACCGCTACCACACGCAAGTCCCCAACTGCACCCGCCGCAGGTGGTGGTGGCTGTGGACGACTCCCGCTCCATGGCGGAGACGGGGTGCGGCGGCTTTGCCCTGGAGGCGCTCACGCTCATCTGCCGAGCCATGGCGCGCCTGGAGGTGGGTTGGGGCGTGGCTGGTGGTGCCGGTGCTGTGTGAAAGCTGCAGCGCTGGCTTCCCCGTGAGCCGCATCCGGCCGTGCCGGCGCGCTGCCACTGTTCCTCTCCGCCCTCCCTCCCATCTCATCTCACAGACCACACACACATGCACACTCCCCCCCCGTGCAGGTGGGCGAGCTGGGCGTGGTCAGCTTTGGCGGCGGCGGCGGCGCCGTGCCGCTGCACCCGCTGGACCGCCCCTTCACCGACGCAGACGGCGTGCGGGTCATGTCGCAGGCACGCCCGCCCGCACCTCCTGCCGCTGGCAGGGCAGCAGACCATCCGCTCCGCTGGCGCCATCATGGCTTCCTCCTGCTCTTCCTCCTCATCCCGTTCCCGCATCCCACCAGCACAATCTCACACACCTGCCGCTGCTGCTGCTCCCACAGATGCGTTTCGACCAGGACAACACGCTGAGCGACCGCCCCATGGTGGACGTCATCACCAGCCTGGACCACATGCTGGCCACGGCGGCCGCGCGCGCCGGCGCCAGCACCGCCGGCGCCTCGCTGCAGCAGCTGGTGCTCATCATCGCAGACGGCAGGTGGGCGCTGGCTGGTGGCAGCACAGGGAGGGTTTGGGAGGGCAGGAGAGGCTGGCTGCTGGCAGCCCGCTTCTGGTGCATGCTGTGGGGACGGCGATCTGGGCTGCAAACACACACCCATTTGGTCCCCCCTCCTGTGCCCGCAGGTTCCACGAAAAGGAGAGCCTGCGTCGCATTGTGCGTGCGGCAGCGGACAAGCCGGGCGTGCTGTACGCATTCATCGTGCTGGACAACCCCGCCGCGGCCGCTACCGCCAGCGCCGGCGTCTCTGGCTCGATCCTGGACATGCAGGTGTGGGGCTGCTGTGTGTGTCTGGCTGGTTGTCCTGGGTGGGGGGTGGGGGGCGGGCACGAGGCTCAGAGCTGATGACACACAACTCATACTCGTGTCGCTCATGCCGCTGTGGGGCACCCCCGCCCTGACCCGCTGCAGACTGTGAGCTTTGTGGGCGGCAAGCCCGTTTTTGCGCGCTACATGGACTCCTTCCCCTTCCCGTTCTACATCGTGCTGCGCGACACAGGTGGGGCGCGTCATGGCTGTATGTGGTGGATGGGTGGGTGGGGAGAGGGTGGCAGCTGGGTGGGCCAACCACACGTGCAAGCGGAGGCACATCTGGATGCCTCTCCAGTCTTCAGCACCACGATCGGGTCTTAACTCTCCATGCATGCATCCCGTTCCTCCCCCCTGGTGCAGCCGCGCTGCCGCGCACGCTGGCCGACCTCATGCGCCAGTGGTTTGAGCTGAGCAGCCACGGCAACGGCTGAATAGCACCAGGTGCTCGCGGCACTGATTTCACGTTTTCTGATCAGCTTGCTTTTGCTTGATTCTCTCTCTTTGTCTCTCTTTCATTCCGCCTTTATTTGTGCTTCCTCTTTGTTCCCAATTCTTTCCATTCAACGCAGACTGAACTTGACTTTTTGTAATCACCGCCGACAAACTTGCTCCCTCCCGCCACGTCGCTTCCGCAACACGCCAGAAGTTTGCATGCTGCAACGATGTTGGTGCGCGCATCGATCCCGCATATTGCAAAAGGATTAACAACAGCTGACACTGCCTTTGAGAGAAGCTCAAAGAGGTCCTCTACGAGGCTGGCATCACCTGCAGAAAGCAACCCCCGCCTCCCGCTGCGCCTGCTCAGGCGGCCGCCCTGCATGGGGGCGCTGGCACCGTGACCGGACCCGAATTGTCTGCATACTTGTCGAATCTCCATCTCTACTCGCCTTCTGCAACTTTCTGGCCTGTCCCCTTCTTCGCCGGGCCGCCGATTGTGCAGCGTCTCTGGTGTGCCGCGCCCCATGAGGCACTTGGAAGCGGCGCTGGCCCTGCTGCTTTTCCTGGTTGCGGCCGAGGCCGCGACGCAAGGGGCTTGCCCCACGAGGTGAGCGCCGCCCGGACTGAGCATGTTTCGCGGGAGATCCCGTCGCCCAGGCGCGGAGGGCTTTCGGTTGAAGGGACGTGATCACGGAACAATTCAGGGTGCAGCGGGGGGCGCCGCCTTTGAGATAGCGGGCACCAGGCAGCGGGCGCCCCAGGCGGGCGCGCCACCGCTGAGGCGGGCTGTAGCTGAAATTGCCTCTTCGACCAATTGCTGTTGCTGCAGGTGTCAGGAGGAATGCGCAAAAATGTGCGCCGACCCGTTTGACTACAAGTGTGCTGCCGAGCCGTGGCGGCACATGCGGGTGTGCGGCTGGGACGGCCAGCTGTACAGAAACGAGTGCTGCGCTCGCTGCGCCGGCACCTACACCCGCGCCTTCTGCTCCGTGCCGCTGGCCAAGGCCACCTTCCCCAACAGCAACCCCAAGCTGTGCACGTTGTACTGCGGCGCGGAGACGGACGTCATCAGCCTGACGGCGGTTGGGGAGCAGCCCGCGGTCGTCGCGGCGGCGATGCAAGAGGCGCAAGCGTGACGTTAACCGGCGCCCTATTGGATTTTTGTGACATCAACATGCACTGATTTTTCATTTCAATACATTTCAAACAAGCTCGCTTGTGTACATCCCATCCATTTATTCCTTTGCTATCGCTCTTCACCGCCTGACGTGTCCCCGATGCACTCACAGATTTTTAAAGCATGAGCTTGTTTTCGGGGTCTCTGCTGAGAAGGCAGGCAGCCTAGCGCCGCACATATGTGGGGAGGTTGTCCACGGCGGCACTGCATGTTGGCCAGGTCGGGAGGGAAAGAGAGAAGGGAGGATGCAACCCCAAGATGTGTAGCCGGGCCAGTGCGCCGGTGTCCAGTGTGCCTGCCGCCTGCTACCTGTGCCCGCAGCATGTGTGTGTGTGTGTGTGTGTGTGCGCGCGCTACAGGGGATGTGGCATTCACGGGCTTGGGCCAACCAACCCTGCCGCCCGCGCAAGACGAGGAGGATCTGTCCGCCGACGGCATCCCGGGGAGGCCCCCGTCTTGCGAGCGCCATGCCGGGCTGCCGTGCCGCCGTCCGCCGCCCAGATGCCGCCACGAAAGTGCCATTCTCCCAAAAATCGGCGCGGCCAACGACGAATGAATATTTTTGCCGGATCCTAAGGGGCCAGAAACTTCGGCAAGCCAACGTGCACGCTGGGTTAGCTCAGTCGGTAGAGCGCAAGGCTCTTAACCTTGTGGTCGTGGGTTCGAGCCCCACATTGGGCACGAAGATTTTGCCCCCAAGCCTGCATTTTGCCCAGAACCCTCCCAGTGCCTCTTACACCCCCATGTTACACACACCCAACCCCAACCAGGCTGAGCTGTGATCATGGTGAAACTGAGCTGTGATCAAGACGGTGTTGTGCTACGCGTGTGTAGTACTGCGTGTGTAGCTGGACTGCCGATTCGTGCCGCTCACTGCCCGCCCGCCGCCAGCTCCTCCCCCGCCACCGCCAGCGCCTCCCCCGCCGCCGCCATCCCCAGCTCCAGCCAGGCCTGCTGAGGGTCCGCCGCCAGCGCCGGGCCCGGCCGTGCTGCGCTGCCCGCAGACGGCGGCAGCCCCAGCCGCGCCCGGCGCAGCGTGCGCTGCGAGCCGCCCGTCTCCCCCACCCGTGCCTGCGACACCAGCAGCTCCGCGGCGGCAGGTCCTGCTGCGGCGGCGCCTGCTCTTGGATATCTCCGCTGGGCCGGCTTGGCGGCGGCGACACTGGCATGCATGCCCTCCGCATGGCGCACCGAGGCGCTGGAAGAGCTGGCTGCCCCTCTAAAGCCACCAGCAAACATACCGAGCTGCTGCAACCCTTCGCTGCCGTCGACCCTCCTGTCAAGTTGGTCAAGAGTTAAACATGTGGAAGGGCTCTCAGCATGCAATCTCAAGCTGAATCAATGGGAGAAGCACCTGCGCCCCGATGCAGATGCAGGAAAGTGGCGCTCAACCAAGCATGGCCCTCCAAACCAGCGGGTCTCAAGCTGAATCAATGGGAGTGGCACCTGCGCCTCGATGCAGATGCAGCAAAGTGGCGCTCAACCAAGCATGGCCCTCCAAACCAGCGGGTTCCAAAACTCATCCGAGTCTGCACCTGCAGCTCCGGGCTGCACCTGGCTGCTCTGTTGCGTGCCGAGACGAGGCGTCGGCGGAGATGCACTGGCCGACGGCGGGGCCGTGCCATTGCTGCAGTCCGGTGGTGCGGGAGCTTGCAACCAAGCCAGCACCTGATCCCAGACCTCCTGTGGAAAGAAGGGCAAGGCAAGGCATTAATTGGAAGAGGTAACAGCACTGTCACCTCTTCCAATCTGCATGCAAGACTCTAGCTGCGTTGTAGCAGGACTAGCCTCCGCTATCCCGCTGATCGCTCTATCTGACTATGGCTCTCTCTGCTAAGGTATAAGCGTGCTTACAACGGCGCCTGCACCCCAGCAGAAAGGCCCAGGGGCAGGCGGAAACACCAGCAAAAGGGGCTAAACAGCATAGCATGCACGCCGCGCCGTCGGCGCCGTCGCCGGCGCCGGCGCTGCAGCGCTGCTCCTACTACATGCGTGCGGCACCCATCAGCCCCAGCTCCCTTAGATGCCCTCCCCACCTCCCACTCACCTGCATGTTGACGAGGTCTCGATGCGCCCCCTTCACCGCAGCGGTGGCGGTCTCCTGCAGCCCATGTGCCGTGGCCGACTCTGCAGGCACAGTGCCATCGCCATCCACAGACGTGAATGTGGCGCTGGCATGGGGCACCGCGTCCAGGTCCTGCACCCAACAGCCAGGCATAAGGAAGCACCGTGACGCCAGCAGCTTGAAGCTTTTCGAGCGCTGCACTGTGCATGCACTGCCCTTTGCCGACCACGCACCACCTCTTCCTCACCTGCAGTGCATACCACCATGCCCCATACTGCACATCGTAAGGGGTGCTGAGGCCGGTACCAATTATGTTGAAGAAGGTGCAGGAGGGCGGCAGGCGCGCCTCCTTCCACGAATCGTGGGTTGCCTGGCCCAGGGCCCAGAGCTGTGGATCAAAGGGCAGCGGGATGCTGGCGCCATCCACGCTCACTGGCCATAGGGGGACAGTCGAGCAGGGGAATGTGGTGGCTGTCAGAACGGCGCAGGGCATCAAGGAATCCCGTTCCCGGTTCATGACAGCAACAAAACGGCAGCAGCATGCCATCGGTTTGTCCCCCACCTGTGTTGTCCTTCAGCAGCCGAGCCAGCAGGCCAGGCAGGGCATCGTGCTTGAAGACGTACTGGTGGGCCTGAAAGATGCTGTCGGTGGAGGGTCCAATGGTGCCGCCATCCTCTGCGCCGCTGCCAGTCAACTGACTAACTGCCAGGCTGATGCGGGGCAGCTGGGGAGCAGCTGGATGGGTGCCGGCACTGGTTGAGGGTGCGCCCGATGCTGCCCCAACTGCTGGGCTGTGCATGGTGTAGGTGGTGTGCGAGGCGCACAACACGGGTGGCTGGCCCTCTCCTGCCGGCAGCTGCTCCGGAATGGGCGTCTTCAACCACAGGGTCAGCTGGGGCGGGGGCTGAGAAAAGGGGAAGTCCAGCGGCGGCAGCAGCTCGTACACGGCTGGCGACTGGCAGGCGGCCTGCAATGATGGAGAACAGCAAAGTGCCGAGAAGGTTACCACTCCCTTTTTTTTAACCATGACAGGCCGTCACTAAGTTCAGGCAGCCGGCGGGGATATGGGAAGCCGACAGGCACGGGGCACGGCCACTCGCCTGGCGGAAGGTGCCTTGCTGCACGAAGAAGAAATCGCCCAGCGATCCCCCAAACTGGACCCCCGTGATGAGGCCATCCACGGCATAGCCGGGTGCGCCACCGAACGGGCAGCCGATGGCCACCCACCTGCCAACCTGCAGCAGCGACAACACCACTTTGCACTTCATTGATGCTGCAAGTAAGCTGCTGGGGGCATCGGTGTGCCACTGGCGGGCTTCAGCCATGTAGACTCCTCACCCGCTTCCTCCGCCTTTCCATTTGCAGCCGCCACTCACCAGCGCCTCAAACTCTGCTGGGAAGTCGACCAATAGGGAGCGCACCACCAGGCCGCCCATGCTGTGTGTCACCAGGTCTACCCGCCGCCCCCCACATCGCCGCGACACCTCCTGCAGCCTACCCAGCAGGGTGTGGGCGCTGGTGCGGCACGACTGCCGATAGTCGTAGCCAGCGCCAAACAGGTCGATGCCCGGGCTGTAACCCTGGGCCTGCATAGTGCAGGTGCGGGGTGGGGCAGGAGCAATGTTGATGCATGTTTGGGCTCGGCTGCTGTCACCAGGAGCAGGTTGTGCAAGACAGACATTTCACCCACCTGGAGGAAGTTGATCAGTGGCAGAAAGTAGTTGACGGCTTTTGTGACCAAGCCGACATCCGGGTCCAGCACTGCGAGCAAAACTAGGCAAGTCACTCGCTACTGAATTTGGCAAGTCGCTGGGCCAGCACAGGCAGGCAACACATCAGCACAACGGGCTGGGCGCACCCACCAACCTGAGATGGCGAAGAGGCCACTACTGTCGGTGCCACGCGGGACGCAGACCTCGAAGCCTGGCGTCAGCAGCTCCACCAGGCCGCTGTCCTTGCTGTACTTGCCCCACAGCTGAGGGTAGCAGGGGGACGGGGGGCACTCACGCCTTTGTCAAAAGACCTGCAGATATCGCCATGGCTGTGCCCCCAGCCCCCAGATCAAGCTGGCAGCCAGTGGAGGCCTCATCCCACCTTTTGGTAGGCAGCGTCTGCTCCTCCACGAAGCGACACCCAGCACCGCACGCCATCGCCGGCCTCGCCCTCGGGCCGCACCGCCAGCTGTGTGCCGCAGACGCCCGGCACCAGGAGCAGCGGGGCGCGGCGATCTCCTGCAGATTCCATTAGCCACAGAGGCTGCACCTGTGCAAGAGCAGAGGAGAGGGAGAGCTGGAGAGGTGCCCGCTGGTGTGCAGGGCTCCGACAGGCCCTCTCGCTCGTCAATAGCCGCTGACAGCAGCAGGCAGGGGAGGGATGAGGCCCTCGGGCTCCATAGGGGTTCTAAATAGAATCTAGACTCGGGGTGGCTGAGTTGGCAGTCGAGATGAAACACAAAGGTCTCGCCGAGGAGGCCAATCACAACCTTTATAATCAGCCCAATCATAGCAGCGAGCCGGCTGCCTGCCTGGTGGAGCTTGCGCCCAACATTCGAACCCTGTGCTTGCTGGCCGACGGTCTGTGAGCCTTTCCGTGGTGCACGATGGTGGGCAACACTGTGTCTCCGCGGGGCTCTGGCGGTATGCTACAGGACGCTGAAATTGGGGCAGCAGGGGACGACGATGCCCTGCTCTCCCCAAACTCACAACAGCTCACCCCACGCACAAGAGCGATAGTTGCCATGAGGAGGTCCAACTCCACGCATGAGGTTGGGCGCTGCGCCCTGCCGCCGCCGCCGCCCGCCTGAGCTGCCGCCTGCTGCCCGCCACACGCCGTGGTGGTGTTATTCCCTGAGCTCGCAAGTGCAGCAGCTCACTTAGCAGGGCTGCATTGCGCTGCTGCACGATTCCTGAGCGGCATCCTGCCCCTGTGCAGGCGGCGCAATCCATCTTTGGCAGCTACGTCTCCCGACGCTTCATGAGCGGCTGGTGAGCGGGGCCGGCCTCGGCCTGCTGGCTTTGTCGCAGATGGCACTTGTTCCGGGGCAGGCGGTGCTGCTGTCGATTGCCAGCAGGTGACAAAGAGCAAGCCGCTGCCACGTGCGCTGCGTCCCCCACCCCCACCCCCCACCCCGCAGCGCGGTGCTGCTGCCCATCGTGCTGACAGTGTACGTGATGTGGTGGTTCCTCGAATTCTTTGACGGCTTCTTCTCCCCGCTCTACGACGCCCTGTTTGGCTTCCACGTCTTTGGGCTGGGCTTCCTCACAACCATGATCTTTGTGTTTGGCGTGGGAGGTGAGAGGGCGTCGGCTGCCGGCCGCGCCGTGCTTGCATGCACGTTTGGCACGTGCCAGTACAGGTTTGCTTTCGCTGCCCGAGACCATGCCGCTGCCTCCCCCCCGGCCGCCGCCGCAGTCTTCACGTCCACCTGGGTGGGCAGCGTGACGATGGGGATGGGAGAGTACATCATCAAGCGCGTGCCGCTGGTCAAGCACATCTACTCAGCGGCCAAGCAGGCGCGGTGGGGGCTGGCTGGCTGGCTGGTTGGCTGACTGGCTGGCTTGCGCGTCGGCGGCTGGGGCTGCGCAGCTCGGCTGCCACACCGTGCTGGGCTTCCCGCGCCCCCTGGCTGCATCGGAGAGCCTCAAGCACAACGGCTTGTCCGGAGCAGCAGGAGTGCAGCCCCACCATGTTTACCTGCGGCGCCATACCTGCCCGCCCCATGCCCCCCTGTGTGTGCGCTGCAGGTCAGCGCGGCGGTGTCCCCCGACAACGAGCAGGCCAACAGCTTCCGGGAGTGCGTCATCATCCGGCACCCGCGCCGGGACGGCGAGTTTGCCTTTGCCTTCATCACGGGGCAGACGCTGCTGCAGGTGATGCGCTTATCTGGGGGTTGCTTGTTGCATGCGGGGCGGCCTGTCTTTGAACAGGCAGGGGAAGCGGTTGAGGGAGGGGCCGTAGTGTTGCGTTGCTACAAAGAGTGGCGGGGGGGTGCGCATTGCGTGCGTGCTGCTTCGTGCGCCTGCGCTGATGTGCCGCCGCGTGCCGACCGTGCCGCAGACGCTGGAGGGGGAGGAGGTGCTGTACTGCTGCTACGTTCGTGAGTTGGGGACGCTGGCCTGCTGGGCGTGGTGCATGCCTTGGCTCTGTCTTCAAGAGCAGCTGGCCATAGCCTGCACATCTTCCTGCCTCCTTCCTGCCTTGCGTGCAGCCACCAACCACGTGTATGTGGGCGACATCTTCCTGCTGTCAGACAAAGACATCATACGCAACACCCTGTCGGGTGGGTGGGACCAGGGCAGCCAGCGGGGGCTTGGGGGACTCTTGGGAGACCAGGAAGGTGGGTGCGCAGTGTCTGGCGCCTGCTCACGTGCTCGCCTGCGTGCCCCCTTGCTGCCTGCCCAGTGCGAGAAGGGCTGGAGATAGTGGTCAGCGTGGGCATGGCAGTGCCCAACAAAATCATCGCGATGCCGCCCTCGCTGGCCAAGAGATGACGGCGGGACCGTCGGCGGGGCGGCATGATGGCCCAGCAGCAGCATCCCCCGTGAATGGCACCCTTTTGCTCCATCACAATTGTGGGCCCTGGTGGGCTTGTTGCAACACCAGTGCATGGGTAGAGCATCCACACCCAAGAAGCAGCAGACAAAATCAATCAAATCAAGCAAAACCAGGAGGAGGAGCAATACGAAAGCAAAAAACGTAGACATGCCTTAATGATTTGATAAATGCAGGGAAACGAAGAAAGGGATCATGCATACAATAACAAAGGAGAAGCTGCCGTCCAGAGGGCTGCCGCACGCCGAGCTCTGCGCCCGGCTGCATGCAACTATCGGCCAGCACTCCTGGGCCCTGCCACCTGCCGGGCAGCCAGCGGCTCTGGACTGAGGCGCCGCGCCAGCAGCCGGCCGCCAGCCTGCCGTCGCCAGCCCCGCCCGAGCTCAACTCAGGTCAAAGTCCAGGTCCACCTGCCTCAGGTTGATGCGGCGGTCGTCAAACACGCGCAGCTGGGGCGCCAGGATGCGGTTGTAGCGGTCAAAGTACAGCAGCTGCTTGATGAGCAGCGCAAACTCGCGGGGGAAGCGGATGCCGTTGCTCTCGCCCACCCTGCGCGGCAGGTGGAGGGCGGGGCGGTGGTTGTGGCGCTGGTGGTTGTGGCGCGTTTCACATGCATGGGAGGCGCGGTGCGTGCTGCACCACCATGCTGCCAGCAAAGCCTGGGTGCAGCTGCCGCGGCGGCAGCTGCGAGGCAGCGGCTCGACAGCCAACCGCAACCGTGTTTGGTGGGCGGCACCGCCTGCCGCCGCGCCGCCGCACCTGACCAGGTCGAGCAGGAAGCGGTTGACGGCCGCGTCGTCTGCGGCCACCGAGGCAGACACGCCGCCGCTGCCGGCCTGCACGATCAGCTCGGTGTCGATCTCCTGCAGGCTGGCAAACAGCTTCTCCAGGTCTGCAGCAAAGGCGGGGATGTCGACCTCCCCCGACGTCGCGCCGATGGTCACCAGAGCCCTCGCCATGGTGTCGTAGTCGCCGCTGCCGGTGGCCAGCAGCAGCGCCTCAATGGCACGCCACGTCACCGGGCTGCGGCGGGGGAGGGAGGGGAGAGGGTGTGGGTGTGGGTGGAAAGAGGTGTGGGTTGGGTGGGCAGGGTGCGCAGTCGGTGCTGGTGGCCCGCCGGCGGCGGACGGCTCTGTGCCCCCCTGCCTGCCAACCCCCGCCGCAGCCTGCTCATGCACCGCCGGCGGCTGTCAGCGCGGACCCCCGCCCCGCGCTGCGCGCTGGCTGCGCTGCTGCCGCTTGGGCGCACGCTGCGTGCCTGATGCGCCCCACGATGCCAAAGTCGATGAAGGCCACCCGCCCATCGGGCAGCACCAGCAGGTTGCCGGCGTGCACGTCGGCGTGGAAGGTCTCGCAGCCCACCACAGACCCAAACCAGGTGTTGAGGCCGTTGATGAGCACCAGCTCCGGCTCCACTGCAGGCAGGAAGCGGAAAAATCCATCGGAGCACACCGGGGTGGCTTGGGGGAGGGGCGCTGACACGCAGGCGGCGCACCGCGGGCGCAGCAGGCGGGGGCAGGGGTGGTGGCAGGCGTGGCGCGTGCCTGCCGCCGAAATGCGTGCCGAGTGGGCGGCTCGGGGCCAGGTGCGGCATGCACCAGCCCCGGCTGCCCACCCAGCGCCACCCGGCCCAGTGAAGCTCCAGTGCGGTGCACAGCTGCGCTGCAGGGCAACCCCCAGCCCCCAGCCCCGGCCCCAGCCCCAGCCCCGCACCTGATGTGATGCTGCGCACGGCGTCGAGGTCGGTGAGCGGCACGCCGCGCAGGCGGTCCATCACCATCACCCTGCAGGCAGGGAGGGGTGTGGTAGTGGCAGGGTGAGGGCCGGGTGCGCTGCAGGCGCTGCTTGCGTTTGCCACGGGAATGGGCACCGCCGAGGCGTGAGCGGCATGCCCACGTGCCATCCAGTCCCGCTCCCCCCGCCACAGCACCACCCGACACCTCTTGCGGCACATGCCGCGAGCCCCTCCCCCGCCGGCCCCACCGCCGCCAGCCCTGCGGCCGCCGGCCCTCACCGCTGGCTGGAGAACTGGCGGTAGACGCCGGGGCAGGTGGCCACGCCGCGCAGGCCAGCCCTGTCCAGGTAGCCGTCAAACTGCGCCAGGTGGGCCGCCTCCTTCCTGAAGTCCACCTCCTCCAGCATGCTGGCGCGGATGTCGCCCACCACGGCTGCAGATGGCGGCGGCAGGATGGGGCACAGGCCGCGGCAGCGGGGGGCTGGGCGGGGCAGGCGCAGCAAGCCCGCACGCACGGTGGCAGGCGCAGCGCCACCCACTCTGCAACCCTCTGTGCCTCGGGACAGCAGGCAGGAGGGGCCTCGGGCGCCCGTCGTCGCCCCCGGCCCCGCACGCCCCGTGCCCGTGCCTTGGCCCCGCCCGCCCACCCATCCCCCGGCTCCTCACCCGACAGCGAGGTGCGAGCCAGGTCTGGACTGATGAACTCCAGCAGCCTGGAGGAGAGGTAGAGGAAGTTGAGGTCTGCAGGGGGGCGGCAAGGTGGGGCGGGTGGAGGTGGGGCGTATGGTGGCCGCGTGTATGGCGGTGGCGGCAACTGTGATGCTCCGGCCCGGCTGAGCCCGCACGGCACCAGGCAGGGCGCTGGCGCTCCACCTGCGGTCGGCACCACCGCATCAAATCAGCACCACAGCATCAACTCAACACCAGCAGCAACCCCAACCCCAACCACAGCAGCGCCAGCAGCCACCTGTGGTCAGCACATCCTCCACCCCTGGCTTCAGCACCTTGATCACAACCTCCTTGTTGCTCCCCCGCAGCACCGCGGCGTGCACCTGCCAGGCAGCAGGCAGCAGGCACACGGGCGCTCGGTGCGGAGGGCTGGGCGGCGGCGGCGTGCCGGAAGCTGAGGAGGCACGCCCGCGCGGCCCGCACCCGCCTTCCCGGCCCCAACCTGCCACGCGCACAGCAGGCAGAACAAACCGCGGGCTGGGCGCTACCTGGGCAATGGAGGCGGTGGCCAGAGGTTGCAGGTCCACGCTCACAAACACATCCTCCAGGCTCAGCCGCAGCTCAGACTCGACCGTGCGCCTGCGCCCAGCGGCGGCGGCAGCGGCGAGGCTTGGCATCGATGAGCTGGGGAGGCGGCAGCGAGCGTGCATGGGGAGCGCCGGTGCAACGCGCCGGCAGCAGCAGGGATCGCGGTGCCGTGGGGCAGATGGTTTGCGGGGAAATGGAATGGCGCGCTGCCGGCCGTCTCGTGCCGCCCCCGGCTCCCCACCTGATGACCTCAAAGGGCACGGGCTCGGTGCTGTCCAGGCACTTTTGGAACTCCAGCACATACTCCTCAGGGAACAGGGTGGGGCTGCAGCAGGGGTGGCACACGACGGGCAAGGCTGGGGTGCAGCAGGCACGGTTGGTTGGGCAGCGGTTGGGCAGGCCCCGACCCAGGCAGCCTGCGGCATCCCGCAACGCGCGCCCCCTGCCCGCCTCCCAAGGCCCAGGCTCGCTGCACCTGCTGGCGATGAACTGGCCCAGCTTGATGTAGGTGGCGCCCAGCCGCTCAAACAGCTTGCGCAGCACGATGGCGGGGCCCTCCGGAGGCTGCCCCGCCTGCAGCAGCACCGCCTGCTCCCGCGCCACCGACAGCAGCGCAGAGGCGGCCTGCGCGCTGCGCGTGATGCTGCGCGGCCCCGTGGCGATGGCGATCTGGGCGGCCTCGCGCAGCAGCTCCTGCAGCTCCTGCAGCCGCTTGCTGAGCGCGGCGGCGTCCATCGGCGGCGGCGAGGTGGCGGCGCCAAAGCCGCCGCCGTTCCCGCCGCGCGTGCTGCTGCTGCTGCCGCTCCCTGGAGTGAACGGCGGCGCCGACCCTGCCGCACGTGCAGTCACTCTGAGTGGTTGCCGGCGGCTGCTGCTGGAGCGTGCAGCAATCGTGGCGCTGTGCCGTGCGAGTGTCCGCCCAGTCACGGCGGCGGCGGCCTGCATGGCGGCCATTGATCCTTCCCAACAAGCTTGCGATCGCTGCAGGTGCGGCAGCGACGTCTGAGGGAGCTGGGCGATGCTACACGCGCAAAGAACCAGTCTTTGACCGGCGGGCTGGTGTTAGTATATGTTGGTCGATTGGGGCACTCAGATCAGAAGAGCAAAGGGTGTTCATATGACGTTGGGGAGGCCTGCTGACATGCGCCACGTCACCGACCCAGCGCCTGAGCCCAGCCTTGGACTGCCTCCTCACCCACTTCCAGCCCTTGTCAGATCCACATGGAGCCTAGGCAGAGTGAGGGCGCCAGAATGGGCTCCCGCCAGAGCCCTGACAGCAGCAGTGAGACAGAACCGCAGGCCACAGCCCCCACCCCCGACATTTTCGAGACGGACGAGGAGCTGCGCGACACTGTGGCCTCGTACGACCCCATGCACCACACCGACGACCTGCCGGGATCCTTTGCAGCCAAGGCGGCGGTGGGTGGCGAGGAGGAGGCGCCTTCTGGCAAGCCGAAAGACTCGAGCGTGCTGGACCCGGGCGTCGGGCCGGTAAGGTGGCAGGCAGGCAGGGCTGGGCACACGTGCTAGGACGATGATGCAGGCACGAGGCTGTGGTCGATGCTGTGTGGGACACCCTCATTGTGCAGGGCGCCAAGGCTTCTGAGACCAAGTCGCAGGTGCCGGGCAAGCCAGTCGGCCTGGACACACAGGTGATGCCCTGTGGTCTGCTGCCTGCTGCTGCTGCTCCATGCACTCACACAGCTCAAGCTTAGCCCGCCATTTTGAGTGCAGGTTCTGGATGTGGGGCGCGATCTCCTGCAGAGCTTCACGCCGCTGAAGGCCGTCCACGAGCATGTCTGCGCCTGGCACTTTTATGCACGTGTGTGAGCCTCCTAGCCGGCGCTGCTGGGGATTGGCAGCGGAGGAGCTTGCCTGCCCCCCCACCCCACCCACCGCTACCCGCCTGAAGCGGCGAACCCGAGATGCGCCTGCCGCAGACGACCAGGGGCGCCAGGTGGAGGCACACCACTACTGCAGCCACCCGACCGAGGAGGTCCGCCAGTGCGTGCTGTTCGACTCGGACCAGAAAGGTGCAGCGCTGCGCTGGCTGCTGCCGCGTGGAAAGCACAACATGCCAGCGTGCAGGCTGCTGGCTGTCAAAGGCTGCCAGCAAACCATCTGTGGCATGCTGCATGTTTGCCAAAGCAGGGGCGCGGCTGCTGGGTGTGGAGTACATCATCTCGGAGCGGCTGTTCAATGAGCTGCCGGAGGAGGAGAAGCGGTTCTGGCACAGCCACAGGCGAGGCAGCTGAACCCGCTCTGCTCTGGTCTGGCCTGCTCACGTTGCCGCCCCCAGCAGGGGGGCAGCGGGAGGGCCAGCAGCAGGTGTGTGCAGGCTCGCCCATTGCCCGAGCCACTTGCAGGTATGAGGTTGGCAGCGGGCTGCTGGTGGCGCCGGGGGTGCCAGGCATCGCGGAGAGGCAGGACATGCAGAAGCTGATCGGGACTTACGGCAAGGCCTGGCACATGTGGCAGGTGGACCTGGGCGACCCCCTGCCCTATGGTGCGCCTGGCTGGCACGATGGAGGTGGAAAGCAGGGGGCCTCCAGCGCCTTGCATGCACCTAGGATGTCATGCCTGTGGCTGCTGCAGCCAGAGCGTGAGTGGTGGGCATGCCGTTGCTGCTGCGCCACGCCTGCGGCTGCTGCAGGCCCGCCGCAGCTGATGATGGCTTTCACAGACGACAACCAAGTGCGGCCCGAGCTGGTGGAGGAGCGGGACAGGCGGTACGGCATGAGCACCGCAGGTGAGGCTGCGCACTGTGCACAGCAGCCGCACTCCGGCGCCCCCGCCCAGACGCAGGCACAGGCACCGCCCCTGCCTCCTGCTGGCCGCTGCCGCAGACAAGGGCCGAGAGCGGCAGGAGCTGCTGGAGTGGCCCGCCGGCGTGGACCCCGCCGCCGACCACTGGCAGAGTGGCACGGCCTGGCAGACCAGCATGGAGCAGGTGCCCTTCAAGCCCGCCCGTGGAGGCAGCACCACCACCACCCCCAGGGCCGGCCCCAGCAGCCGCGAGCCGTGATCTATGAGGCGTGCGATATGAGGCGTGTATGGGTGCAGCAGCAGCCGCGTTTTACATGCATTGCGGGCACAACTGCGCCATTCCCGGCGGCCAGCCTCAGACGGTGTAGCGCTCCTTGGCGCGGCGGTCGTCGCGCTTGGCGTCGCTGTGCGCCATGAAGCCAATCTTGGACTGGTCCGGGATCTGCAGCATCTCCTTGAGCTGCCGCCCCACATTCGTCTGCGGTCGGGCAGGCAGGCAGGGCAGGGCAGGCGGCGGTGGTGACGAGCCAGCTAGGGGCAGGGATGTGCGGATGGGCGTGCACCCCACGTGATGAGCAGCATCCGCATCCCCTCCGCTCCCGCCCTCCTCCAGGCATCGCAGCCGGCGCCGAGTGCGGCTGGGCGCCGCTGTGCTTTCCGATGCCCACCTCTGCGGCACACCTGCTGCCCCCCACCATGCAGCCCCCGCCCCTGCAGCCCCCTCCCCCTGCGCCCCCCCCCCAGCCGCGCACCTGCAGCGCCTCGTTCGCCGCAGTCTTTGTCCACACTGAGATGCGGTCCTGCTTGGGCCGCACGTTGACCACGATGCCGCAGATCTCCTCGCCGTCGTCAAACTGCTCCCCGATGCTGCCCAGCACGCCGTGCAGCCACATGGTGTCCAGCACCTGCTTGTTGGCCTTGGGCACCATGGCCGTCCACTTGCCGCCGTGCTCGCAGCGCGGGTCCTCCCACTTGGGCTCGATGCCCTCCCGGAACAGGTGCAGGTCGGAGCCGGCGGAGAGGCGCGAGGGAGGGATGATGTTGTTGTACAGGCTGCAGCAGAGGAAGGAGGGTCGGCGGGGTCAAGGCAAGGGGGACAGCCGGGAGCTGCAACAAGCAGAGGCGGGGCGCGCGGCTGCGGCGGCGGCCTGTGCTGCCGCCAACGGGAGGCGGGCAGGGGCGCGGGAGCAGCCACTCACCACCAGAAGTCCTCTACTGTGTCAAACGTGTACACGGCTCGCAGCGTCTGGCCCCAGGTCGCCTGCTTCTGCTTGCCGTTGGGGTTGTCAAACCACAGCGTCCACTTGGTCTCCAGCGGGTGCTTCTGGCTGAAGTCGGGCTCGCCTGCAGGGCGCGGCGGCGGTGCCATGGGTGAGGCGCATGCCCTCTGCAGCCCCAGGCTGCCCACAGAGCGCCCAGGCGGCCCGCTGATCGGGCGGCCCGGTGATGGCATTGCGGCGACGGGCTGCCAGGGCCGCAGCGGCGCGCCCAAGCAACTCACCATCCTGCTGCGGTTGTGTGGAAGCGGGCTCGTCCGCCATGGCTGTGGAATGCGGCGGCAGGGGCGAGGATGCGCAGCAAACTTGGAGGCTTGGGCGGTATGCAGCAGCGATTGAGGAGGAGGTTGCAGCAGATGCTAGGGGCCACAATGCGGACGCCCCTCTCGTGCCGTGTGTTTTCCACCAGGGACAGGGGCCGAGGGCGCGCTCCGCTCGCCTGGCGCCTTTGCTGTTGGCCCGCAGCCCAATTGGAGCGCGGTGCATCACGCCGGCGGTTTGCAAAAGGAAGCAGGCGCATGCGCCCCACCAGAGGGCGGCGGCGGAGGGAAGGGCAGCGGGGCGGCGCAGAGCTCGAGCCGTCGCACCGCGCAACCCAAAGAGACACGAATAGAAAATACGACAGAGAAGAAACAAGCAAGAAAAACAGTGCAAAACAAGGATTGAGTTAAGTGGGGGAAGGGGCGAGGGGGAAAGGGCGACGCCGCCGGCACAGGTAACGAAGCGGCAACCGCATCAGAACTTGACTGCCCGGCGGCCATGCATGGGTGCACGTGCGCCTTTGGTAAACCACAGATGGGAGCCAGCCAGACCAGCATATGCACCAGCCTGCACCGCCGAAGCGGCCGACGGCCTCACAGCGGGCATGTGGCCTTTGCCAGTCTGCGGAGCATTGCGCTGGCACCCCAACTTCCTTCCACTGCGCTGCCGCAAACACAGCGCCGTGGCGCAGCCGCTGCCACCGTGCCAGGCACCAGCGCACCGGTGAGCTGGCTGCCGGATGGCCGGTCGGCTGGCAAATGGCTGAGGCGCTCAGCCCGCGGAGGCTCCGGCATGGCTGCCACTCCAGGCGGCAGCTCAGTCGTCCTTCTGCGTGACGGTGATGTCCTCAGACATAGCGGGCTCAGCGCGCTCGGCATACGCTGTGTAGTAGTTCCAGCCCAGCGCCATCCACAGGCTGGAGATGCCTGCAGAGCAGCGGCAGCAGGCGGGCGGGGCGCCGGCTCAAGACGTCTGCGAGCCAGGGTGCGGCGGCGCGGCCACGAGCCAGCCGTGCCAGCTCTGAGATGCCCTCAGCTGTTGGCGCCCACCTACCACTGCACCTCAACCCTTCCCAGACCACCGCTACTTCCAGCAAGCAGCAGACTAGCATGTCGTACACTCCAGGCGCCCACCCAGGCCTGCACAACCCCACACGAGCACACGCCCATGTGCGCCCTCACCTGCCACGGCCATGGGCTGCAGCGCAAACTTGAGGCTCATGGTTTGGAACAGCACCAGCTCCATCACAAAGTGCAGCAGGGCGATCAGGAAGGAGCCCAGCGTGGCGCCTGCACCAGGGGAGGGAGCGTGCGGGCATCGGCGTGGCGGGCAGAACGTGCGCCAGGAAGAAGCAGGGAGAGGCGGGCAGCACGAGCAGCAGCACGGCAACGCAGGGCTCCACGCATGGACTGGCAGCAACGTCAGCTGCTGCACACAACACAACACAACACAACACAACACAACACAACAAAGCAGCAGCAGGATTGCGCCTGCTGCATGCAAGGCATGCAAGCCGCCCGGCCGAGCGCTGCCCCCGCTGGCCTCCCGTCGCCTCACCGTAGATGGCTGGCACGCATGGGTTTCGTGCGCAGATGAGGCACAGCATGCTTGATGTCAAGGTCCATGTCGAAAATATCCGCCCCGCTAAGTCGGTGACTGCACACGCAGCAAGGGGGGCCAAGGGCCAGGGGAGGGGCAAGAACGGCGTGGTGGGTGGCGGCACGCGCCAGTTGCAAGGCAGTCTGCGAATCTGGGGGCCCATCGGCATCAACAGCAGTGCGCCACCACCCACCTCCTTCCGGCTGCTTGGTGTACAGGTTGGTCTGGAATCGGTGTGGCGCCGCATAGCCCAGCCCCACTGCGGCGGGCAGTAGCGGCGGCGCAGCAAGGGCGATTGGAACCCTGCCCGCTCGATCACCGGCGGGCCAGCGCTCCCGCAGGCCCACCGACAGCAGTTACATCGCAGGCGCCCTCCCAGCCCACCTGAGAAGAGCCTGAGCAGCGCCACAAAGACTAGCCAGCGCCGCAGCGCTGTGACGCTGGGCATATCCCTCTGCGCGCGGGGATCGTCAGGCTACTGCCACCCTAGCCGCTGCATCAACAGAAGGGCTGTGGAGACGCTGCACTTCAAACCCCAGCCAGCTGAGAGGGTCCCACCGCTACGGGATCAGGGCCCTGCAAGCGATCCTCAATACTGAAGGTTGTCCCCTGGGGCTCAGGTATAGCTGTGCGCATGCCAGTGGGGACCAGCCTGGCAGCGCGCAATTGCGCGCAACTCATCCTGCGAGCAGGGCAATGCGCCATCCAAAGAGGCTGGGCAAACATCCGCCACGATGTTAGCGATGCAGGGGTCCTGTGTGAGACACGCTTGCGGGGTGTCGTATCACAGCCGTGCACCTCGCAGCCGCCCCCTGGTGCGCGCCGCTGCTGAAGATCAGCCACACGAGGCATCCGGGAGGCGGCGGGCTGTGCTGGCGGGCGGCGCGCTGCTGGGCGGCCTGCTGCTGCCGCGGGTCGGCGGCGGCGGCGCCGCCAGTGCTGCCGGGGCTGGCAGCACGAGCAGCATCTACGACCTGTCTGCGGCCATGGAGGAGCGGGATGTGGCGCTCTCAAAGTATCGAGGCCAGGTCGTGCTGGTGGTCAACGTCGCCTCGGCGTGACCGCTAGCAAACGTCAACTACCCCGGTCAGTACTGTGGCGCATTGCCCAGGCATGGCAATGCACTGCTTGCCTCATCAGGCTGGGCGCCCCCCTCCCGCATGCCACACACACGTGAGCGTGCGCATTTGCAGGCGCCAGGACGCTGTACGAGAAGTACAGGCGCGACGGGTTCACCATCCTGGCCTTCCCCTGCAACCAGTTCGGAGGCCAGGCCCCCGGCAGCTCCCAGGAGGAGCGCGACTTTGCCCGCAAGAAGTTTGGGCTGGATGAGCTGGAGGTGTACGACAAGATTGAGGTCAACGGGCCGGGTGGGTGGGAGCTGGGCGGGCACGGCGGCCACGTCATGGCAACCGACAGGCAAGGGCGCGAACGGCAAGCGCAGCCCTGCGCCGTAGGCCGTACGTGTGGATTGCAACCTGTGGGCGCGCCGCTGCGCCGTGCAGGCACCCACCCCATCTACCGCGTGCTGAAGCGCCAGCAGCCCATCAGCCAGCCCTCCTCCTCGCCGCCGCCCCCTGGGGAGCCCGGCCGCATCGAGTGGAAGTGAGCGTTCCTGCTCCCCCTCCCTCCATCCCACCTGTCTGCTGCTCGTCCTGCAGCTCCTTCTGGCATGCAATTCCTGCTGCTTCAAGCCGCCCCCGCGCCCTGCATGGCTGCCTTGCACGCCTGTGGCGCTCCTGTCCCTACCCCTCAACTGACGCACCCACTGCTGCCCATCCCGGTGCCCCACTCACGCAGCTACACCAAGTTCCTGGTGGACAGGGATGGCGTGGCACGCAAGCGCTTCAAGCCCGCCTTTGACCCGCTGGAGTTTGAGGCCGGTGAGGGCTCCTCTGGGGAGGGCGGGATGCAGGCCCTGGGGGCCCAGCCTTGCTTGGGTCAGCCCAGCCTTGCGTGCCGTGATGCTGCCGTCACCGGTCGCCTGGGCGCCTCGCAACACCCGTTGCCGTGTGCCTGGCGGGCTCCCCGCCTGCAGATGTGCGACTGCTGCTGGCCGGCAAGGACCCGCTGCCCAGCGAGTGCATCATGCACCCGGGGAGGATGGTCTGCAAGGTGGACATCTGAGGCCAGCGCCTTCGCCTGGGTAGCCTCCAGCCAATCCAGCGCCAGCCCCCACCGAGGAGAGCGCACCACTCCTCCCCCATTATTCAGTCGACTGGACAGCCCCGTGCTGTGAGCATGGCAGGCAGTCGTGCCTGCTCTATGACGGCGGCAGGCTAAACCGCACCTTCGGACGCCTGCCGCCCGACCCCTGCGGCCGTCGTGCTGCTGCCTGCGTCCTGGCAGCACCCGGCGGCCTGCAGGCATGCTGCCCTGCCCTGCTCACACCTTGCGCTGCCTCCGGCTTCTGATCCTTACTCTACGGCCCCCAGCTTGCACACTTTCATCCCATATGAGGTCAGAGTGGCCAGCAATCAATCAGAAGAAAGAATGTAATTACATACTCTATGTTGGCTCAAGCGGGCTGCATTGGTAGGAGTGGCACGCAGTCTAGGAACCGACGCCGCGCTTGCATCTCCAGTCGGTACAGGGCAACCAGCGGGGCAGCCACTACCAGCGCTCCCCCCTGCACAGCCAACACAACTGATTTGGAGAGAGGGGGAGGCCGGTCATTGCGTTCCAAGTCCCTAAACCCCCAGCTGGTTGCTCAGATGCTGCGGCGATGCACGATCAGGCATGCCAACCTGGACGAGAGCAGCCGCCAGGCAGACCCGTGGATGAATCGAGCCGGCATGGCAGTGGGCAGGCAGCGCCCACGAGGTGACCAGGTACAGCAGCAGCTGCAGCGGTGCTTGAACACAGAAGCGAGCCTGCGGCAAGAGGCCAGTAGCAGGCTGCCAGCTGAACTGAGGGCGGGGCCCTGAGCATGCCAGGCAGGGCAGTGGGCTGGGCTAAGCACCTGGCAGGCGAAGAAGAGGAGGAGTGGCATCACGATGCTCTGCAGCGGCGGCGTGAAGCCAACCCCCGGCAAGCGGGCTGGCGCCGTGCCGGTGCTGGCGCCGCTCAGCAGCCAGTACTGGCACCAGGCGCAGCCCAGGTATACTAGCAGCAGGGTGGTGTCTCGGTAGTGCATATATCTGCAGGCGTGGAGCGACAGGCTGGGCACGGGAGGCCTGCACAGAGCTGGGCCACTCGGCTGTGACAGCAGGCAAGCGAGCGGAAGGCAGCAGCGCACTCACGCTGCCGGGGCAGCTATCAGCAGCAGCAGGAGGGGCAGGGGCATCAAGTTGGCCGCCAGGTGTGGGGGTGGCATGTCTTGCAGAGCCCTGCCACCAGCGCTGAGCAGGAGCAGGTGGAAGGCAGCGGTGAGCCCGATGGTCAGCAGGTCCACCTGCATGCAGCAAGCGCCAGGGAAGCCTGATGAGTCGGCTCAGGGGCGGCTTCGCTGGTAACCACGAATGGTAGCAGGATGCATACACGAGCAAAGCAGCTGCTGGGGTGCTCGCAACACGCCTGCAGCAGCTGGGCGTGGTGCCAGAGCGCAAAGCGCCGCTCCAGCCGCGGGTCTGCAAAGCGCAGCAGCCGGCGCCAGCTGGCGCCCGCCTGGCCCAGCGGCGAGGCCTCGCTGCCCTCCGACTCTGCTGGGGACCGCTTCAGCAGCTCCTGCGGGGGACCTCCATGCGGCAGGCCAGCGCTGGTGCTGGGCCCTGCGGCCCCGCTGCCGGTGCTGCTGGCACTGCTGGTGCTGATGGTGGCCAGCCCCGCCTCGGCCCTGGCCCTGGCTTTGCTGGCGGACGGGCTCTCGGGAGGTGGCTGCTCAAGCTGCCTCGGCTGACGCGGAGCCTCTGGTGCACCGCTCCCTGCCCCGCCCTGCTGCGCAGCCAGCACGGCAGCCGAGGCAGGCGCCACCAAGCTGCCGCTGGCATCTGCGCTCTGCTCCGGCCGGCGCTCGCCCCCTGTCCCTGCCGCTGTAGCCTCGGCTTCCTGCCTGTCGCCTGTGGACTGCTGCACCGCCAGCAGCGCTGCTGAAGCGGAGCCTGGATCGTCTGGCGGCTCGGCCCCTGTGTCGCGGCAAGCGCCGGACACCCACCCGGCAGGCTGTGCCGCCAGTGCTGCCTGCTCCTCCCCCTCTAGGCCCTCCTCCTCAGTGTCTGTCAGCATCAGCTCGCTGCCGCTGCCCTCTCCCTCCGACTCCGACCCTAGCTGCCACCGGCCCTCGCCTTGCCACCGCTGCTGCTGCTCCTCCACGCCCAGGATCAGATTGCACTGCTCCCGCAGCGGCGCGGCAGCCTGGGCCATCCCGGGCGCCAGCGCCGCGGCCAGCGCCAGCAGCCAGCTGGCGTGCTGCACATCCAGCTGCGCGGGGGTGGGCAGGCTCAGCAGCAGCGCCCCGATGCAGCGCCCTGCCAGGGGCTGCGGCCGCTGGCCCTCGTTGCTGGTGCTGGCTGCATGGCCCGGGTACGCCGCTGCTGTGCCCGGCTCTGTGATGGGCACGCAGAAGACTGCGCCGCCCTCAAAATCGTAGCAGGCCAGCTCCCGGCTGCAGGCGAGGGCGGGCGAGAGCGGTGCTGGGCAGTCGTGGCGTGCTGGGCTGCCTGATCTGTTTTTGCGTTGTTGAGCTCAGAGGCTGGCCGCCCTGTCCAACAAGAGTGTGGAAAGTGGCTCGCGCTGCCCAACAAGAGGCTGACACTCTCTCACCTGGCCTCGCGCGTGAGGAAGACGGGTGCTCGCCGCACCATGGCCGCCCCCGCCGCCGACGCCGCGAGCGGGTGCAGCGCCAGCACCAGGCGGCCCGGGGCCAGCAGCGAGCCCACAGATGCCAGCACCTGGCTGTCTCCAGTCGGCACGATCAGCCTGTGTTGAGAGGGAGAGGCAGCAGCACGGGGCAGGGCAACCTTGGACTCTGCTGTGAAATGCGCCGAGGAGCTGTGAGGTGCCAGCTACACACACCTCAGGGCTGCCCCTTGTGGGAACAGGGTGCGAGCCAGGGCTGCCGTCTCCAGGGCCACATGGTCGTGTTCCACCGCCTGGTGCACAGCAGCGGCCAGGACCTGCAGGTGGGCTGAGGCCTGCATGCTGGTTTCTACAGGGCTGGTTTGTTGGTTTGACAACACCACGATCTCGAGATCTCCCATTCAGATCTTGGCTGTTCCTGGAATCGTAGCTGACACGTGTGCAGCTGCTCCCCGGCAGCGGGTGGTCCTACGCGAAGATTTCAGATCAATGCAATACAGAATACGAGATTTCAACACAAGAAAGGAGCACCAAAGTCAGCAGCTTAAATGCAGCGAAAAGGGAGAAGGTACCAGGTCAAAGGGGTAACAGGTAACAACAGGTGTCACACCTGTTACGGTGAAGCAGTCATCTAGGGGCACGCGTCGCGCCGTGCAGCGAGTGGTCGAGCGCGGTAGGGCGGGCGTCACACAACAGAGTATGCGGGTCCCCCCAGCAGCGGCGCCGACAGCGAGTCGCTGCTGGCGTTGCTCCTGGCCCTCGACCAGAAGGGCCCGTCTGCGGGCGGGGCAGGACATGCGCATGGCGGCCTCACGACCCCACCCGCTCCGCAGCGATGCATCAGCCCAGCATGCTTGCGTCACCAAGCCACGCACCGCACTCCACTCCCACCACCAATACGCGCACACGCGCACCGCACACCCCCACCTGGCTGCAGCAGCTCCTGCGGCAGCGGCGGCGCCGAGGGGACGTTGATGGCCTCCACACCGCTGGCCACCACCGAGGGGCTCCAGAAGGGAGGCACCTCCCTGTAGAAGGGCTCCTCGGTCGTGGGGATGGGCTGCGGGGCGGCCACGATGATGGGCACCTGAGGGGCGGGGGGCGGGCGGAGGAGGCGGGCGGGCACACAGGGGTGCAGGCGGGTGGCGGGGAGAGATGATGGGATCGTAACCGGGAGGTGGTGTGGAGTGCACCCCCTCCCTCCCACCCACACCCAGACCACCACCATGTCGGCGCAACCGCACAGCGCAGCCGGCCGCCAGCAGCCCAAGCAGCCAGCCGCGCCCCACCTTCATCTTCAGCTCCCGCACCATGCCCGAGAACTTGAGGGAGACCTTGACAAAGTAGTCGCAGGTGATGAGGGAGCCGCGCATGCTGGGCGGCAGCGCCGACGGCAGCCGCAGCGCCAGCCGCCTGCGCACACGGGGCAGCAGCACAGCGTGATTGGCCAGCCCAGCGCAGCCCGCCAGGCAGGTGAGTGCGCCAGCAAGAGAACAAAGCTGAAGGGTCATCACAAACAGAGCAACACCCCGGCCCCCACCTGGCCAGCCCGCCCTGCAGCATGGTGAAGGGCTGCAGGCCTGGATGGTCTGCCTTGCTGTGCTCCCTGTGCCAGCGGCGGCGGCTGTTGTGGCGGCCCACCATGTCTCGCCCCTCTGCCTCCTGCTTCAGGCACACCTGCATGCGGCAGCGGCATGAGGCCAGGTGAGCCCAGCAAAGCGCTGGCAGGTGCCCAGCATGACCGCCCGATTCTGCCGTGCACAGCCAGGCGCTCCCCGTGCTGGCAACTCGACTGAATGGGCGCCCCTGGCCGACCAAGCAGCAGCCGCCGCTCTACTTCCACCCCCCGCCAGCCCACCTCGATCTTGCGCACCGCCTGCTTGGAGCGGTTGTCCACCTCCACCACCACCTGCACCTCCTCCCCAGGCTGCGCCTTGTCCCGCTCCAGCCGCACGTGCGCCGAGATGGTGCCCTGGCCAAAGCAGCAGCAGCTGGTCAGCGCCTTCTCCTGCAACCATGGGCGGCACAGCAGCTGATGATGCTGAGCGACAGGCAGCAAAGCATGGCATCAGGGGCGTGCATGTGCCGGACCAGCGCCTGGGCTGCGTCAGCGCTGACGCCAGCCCAGCCATGCAGCCGGCGCGTTCACGGGCCGGCTCCCGCATCGGCGCCAGCGGCCCCAGCGGCGCACCACCGACTGGTCGACGATGCTGGGCGGCACGGTCAGCCGCTGGTGCACGACGAGCTGCTGGCTGTTGCGGATGGCCGAAGTGAACGTGCCGGGCGTGTGGAAGGTGAGGTTGACCGAGTCTGCGGTCGACAGCAGCACAAGCACACAGGTCAAGGTGTGCTCCATAGGAAGTGGTGTGTCCAGCCAGACCCGAAGCAGTTTGTTTTTGCAAACAACATCGTACGATGCAGTCAAAGAAGGGCCTGGCTGGCAAGCTGCTACTCACAGGTCACCTCCGCCCTGCAGCAACAGCAGGCCGAGAGGCAGTCGGGAAAAGCACAAATTTGTTGGAAGCAGCAGCCGGCTATGCTCCCTTGGAGCTGGGGGTGCAAGCTACGGCTGCTTCCGGTTGCTGGCACACACACAGATGCCACAGGGGAGAGACGCAGCGGTGGGCCTGCCACAGCCACATGGCCACCCATGCATAGCCGTGCACACTCACCCCTCGGAGGCCGATCCGACCTTGAAGGAGGAGGGCAGGCCCTGCGGCAGGCCAAACGCCACCTGCCACTGGTACTGCCCCGGCTCCAGATCACTCCTGAGCAGCGCCAGCGGGTGCGTCACATTGAGCAGCTGCACCATGCCGCCGTGGTGCTCCGTGTGCGTCCTGCGGTGGCTGCCCGTGCCGGTCTCATGCGTCTCCGTCCAGTACGTGCGCTCGTGGCCTTGCAGCTGCAGGGCAGGGCAGCAGGCGCTGGTCATGCAAGAGCGTTGTTTTTTCCCGCTGCCTCCCAACTTCCGCCTGAAAGGTCATGCCCGCACCTGGCAATCGATGCTCGTGATAGTAACAGGCTTCACGATGTTCAAGCACACCAACCCCTGCACAAACTCGCCATCATGATACACCTGCGGCAGAGTAGGTGGCGGCAGAGTGGCGGCGGCAGAGTGGGCGGCGACAGAAACGGGGCCGCCCCCTGGGCGCTGCTCTGTCTGCGCACCGGCTTGTCAGTCTGCAGCCACACGGAGTTGCTTTTCGAGAAACCGGCGCCCATCCGGCGGTCCCTTGTAAACGTCCCGCAAGCACTCCGCTTTCAGCGCTCGGGGCAGCGCGTTGGGAAGTTTGATCGCCAGTCAGTCCAATCAAATCGGTAGTGAAGGAAGCGCCCTCCCAACAAAGACCAACGTTTGCAGCCCAGGGTCATGGCGCGCGGGGGGCTGAGCTGGCACTCGCCGCCAAACACCTGGGGCGGGCCAGCGAAGCCCTCTTCCACGAGCGGTGAGTCCGGTCCCAGCCGCCTGCGAGCCGAGGGCGTTTCCAGCGCCGCATGTCTGCTCCAGCATGCTGCTTGCTTGCTGCCTGTGGCTCAAACCGGCCGCCAAGTGCATGTGTGCAGGATAATTGGCGTCCAGAGGCAGCCAGGATGCCGTTCGTCAGGCAGGTCTCTATTGGGCGCGTGGCGCTCGTGCAATACCCAGAGGCGGAGGCCGGCAAGCTGGTGGTGATTAGCGACATCGTCTCTGCCAACGCGGTGAGTGCGGCCAAGCGGGAGCATCATGCCAGGCCCAAGCCGGCTCTGCAGGGCGCTCAGCAGCAGGAGAGAACAGCAGCAGGGCGGGCACCGCGCTTTTGAGCGCCTGGGCGCCGCCAGTAGCCCAGTGCAGCAGGGGGGCGGCCGGGTGGGCGGCGGAGCGGCAGGCGGGGGTGGAGCGTCTGCTGCCCTGCGGCTTGGCTGTCAGACTTTGCCGCGGGCAGGGGAGTGAGGCTGGAATGCAAGGGCAGCAGGGGAATCGCAGCGCATGAGCGCAGCCGACAGACCGGCACCTGGGGCATGCACACAGCCAGCAGCAGGAGCAGCGGCGCAGGCACGCCAGCCAACGCGCATCCCAGCTGTGGCTGCGCCTCGTGCCGCCCAGCTGCCCCGCTGCTGCCCGTTGCCGCGGCCGCGCTGAAAACCCTGCTGCCGCCTACGTTGCCTCTCGCGTGCCCCGCCCCTGCCCACGCGCAGGCGCTGGTCGACTTCCCCGGCCAGACGCGCCGCGTCATCAGCTTCAAGCGGCTGGCACTCACCGACTTCACCGTCGACATCCCGCGCCTGGCCAAGAAGTCGGTGCTGAAGAAAGCGGTGGATGAGGCTGGTGAGTGACGAGCAGAGCTGGGCTGGAGCCCGCGGCGGGCCTTGCCGTGCTATGCCGCGCGCTGCAGCGGCAAGCCCCTACGGGTCTGCAACTTGTGGCAGCGGGTGGGAGCTGCCGGGCTCGCAGCAGCCAGCGGCAGCAACCAGCAGCAGCAGCAGCGAGGCTGCAGCACATGATGGCAGCCATAGTAGCAGCCGGCCGCCAGCAGCCAGGCAGTACTTCCGTAGATGCAGCTTGGCTGAAAGTGGGGCACGGGGCAGCGCATGATGGGAGGGTTGCCAGCAGCTGCGGGATGGTCGTGGCAGATGGACCGGGGGCTGGGGAGGGATGCTGGCGGTGCAGCCCGACCGAAACGGCCGACTGCGCCTCGGCAGGGACCTGCAGCTGTGCGGGATCTGTTGTATTGGAGTCCAGTAGCCAGCGCACCGTCGGGCAGCGTGCGGCAGCCTGGCATGCGGCCACCATGCCCGCACGACTCGCACGTGGAGCGGTGCACGCTCAGCGGAGCAGCAGCAGCCAAAGCCACAGCCCAGCCCAGCAGCCTGCGGCATCATGCACCTGCACCTCCCTTTGCGGCCCGCCACATCCCCGCTGGCCGCTGACGGGCGCGTGCCGCACCGCCGCGCTCCCCGCCCCCCCCGTGCAGGCGTGGAGGCCAAGTTTGCCAAGAGCGCGTGGGGCCAGAAGCTGCAGAAGCGCGTGGACAAGGCTGCCATGACCGACTTTGACCGCTACAAGGCGGCGGTGGCCAAGATGAAGCGCAGCGCGCAGCTGCGCCGCGCCTTCAACGCGCTCAAGAAGAGCGCCAAGTGAGCGGCCGCGGCGCGCATGCAGCAGCGCCCGCACCGCGCACTTCTAGTGTGGCGCACCCCGGTGTGTAACACATCGCCTTGCAGCGAGCTGCGAGGCCACCTGGGGTTTTGGCGGGGGCGGGGACCTGCCGGAGAGCGGGGACCTGCAGTTACATGTGCCGCTCGTGCCGGCAGCAGCCCTGAGGAGTCGGAATGGCCGGCATGGATAGTATGCCCAGTTTGGAGCAGCTAGGGAGGAATGAGATTAGCGACAATTCAAAGGCCGGCGGCAGCCTGGCTGGTGGGGGTACGAGCAGGGGGAGCACGGGAGGGAGCCGGGTTCAGGCAAAGGCGAGGGAAGCGGGAGCGGAAGGAGGCGGGCGCAGCCGTGCGCCGCGCGAGCGCGACATCACGCTGGCGGCGGCGGCCCCGCGCGCACCATGCCCGCCAGCGCCGCCAGCTGGTTTGCCACGTCCTGCAGGCCATTGCGGATGTGCAGGTCGGCGCCGCGCAGCTGCTCGCGGTGCGCCTGCACCAGCTGCGCCGCCTTGCACGCCAGGCTGGCCAGCTCCGCCTCCAGCGGCGCCTGCGGCGGCGGCGAGCCGCTGGCGGGCAGCAGGCTGCGGTGGCGCGGCGCCCGCCCCGCCGCCCCCGTCCACACGCTCTCCGCGCGCGCGTGCGGGCTGCCAAAGAAGCTGGTGCGGAAGGCAGCGGGGCGCAGCACGGTGGTGCGGCTGGGCAGCGGCAATGGAGGCGCGTCCTGCAGGGCGGCGGGGGCGAGCGGGTTGCATGAGGAGCGGAAGGCAGGGCGCGCTGCACCCTCGCCTGGCTGCCTGTCCGTGCCGCTGGCGAGGGGATGTGGAGGGGGTGGGCGGTGAGCGAGAAACAGGCCAAGGGCGCGCAATGCGGGCGGCGCACCCACCCGCATCGGCTGGTCCCCGCCCGCCCTGGGGGCCCAGGGGCAGAACAGCTCGTCCAGACCATGCTGGCTGTGTGGGGAGTCGGAGAGCAGGGAGGGCAGGTCGTCCCATTCAGGCTCGGACTCGGTGTCAGAGGCCGGCGCCAGCGGCGGCGGCGATGACGGCGGCTGCGCGGCCACCAGCTGGCGGAAGGCGGAGACGGGGGGCGGCGGCGGCGCGTGCGGGCGCGGCGCCGGCAGCCGTGGCATCGCCGCCAAGGACGGCATGGGCAGATCCAGGCTGGGGGGCGCCGCGGCGTAGGCCAGCGGCGCGGTGGCGGCGCGTGCGGCCAGCAGCAGGGAAGACAGGCTGCGAAGGCTGGAGTCGGCCGCCAGAGACGCCTCGTTCAGCGCGGCCCTGCATGGCAAGGGCACACAAGGGGAGATGTTCAAGTCGCTTGCAAACCAAAAGCTGCACACGACCGCGGGCACGGGCAGTGGCCGCCGCCGCCACCAGAAAAAGCCGTGCTCACCGGGCGGCGCTGGCCTCCGCCAAGCTGTTTGTGCTGGCCTGGGCAGGCTCGGGACGCAGGATTGGGACGCCCATGGGGCAGCCAGTGGCCGGGGCGAGCGCCTGGGAGGCTGAGCTGCGCGCGGCAGCAGCAGCGCCTGCTGGGGGCTGGCGGTGAGCCTGCCGGACGTTGCCGTGGGTGCCGAGGAAGAGGAGCGGCCCTGGGATCGGAGGAGTGGACAGTGGTGACAGATGTGGTGGACTGTGGACCGCCTGGGGAATTCAGGACCGGCCTGGACACAAATGGCGAAGTCGGAAGGCAGGCACGGAGAGAGTTTCAAGGGTCTCGTTGTTGTGCCAGCTGGACAGCAGAACCCTGTGCTGCTCCAAACCTGCTCGCAGATTTGCAATTCCATCCGCCACCGCACGTTTGACACTGCTCGGCTGCTGCTAGGGAGCCTGGGGGTCCACAGCGGCCCAGCACCGAAACCAGTCAACTCGTGGAAACGCCCCAAACGCCGCTCTAGCACGCCAGGAAGCTCCCCAGGGCCGCAGCAGCCCCCAATTTTGCTGCCGCGCCCGGTCCAATGCTCTGCTGGGTGGCCTGCAGCGGCGGGAGCGGCCCGGGCGCCAGCCCCGCCGGGCCCCTACCCCGCTGCGGCCACACCTTCACCACGCTAGCCAACGGCGATGTCCACGTGCTGTTTGGCGGCGCCGGCCGCGGGACGGGCACCAAGGCCACCTACCTCGCTGATGCACACGTCGCCCGCGTGGCAGCAGATGGCAGCGTCACATGGCAGGCGGTGGCAACAGAGGGCGCCGCGCCCGCGCCGCGCGCTCGACACAGTGGCGCTGGACAGCAGGCGCCTGCTGGTGTGGGGCGGCCTGGAGCACAAGGTCCGCTTCAACGACTGCTGGATCCTAGACGTCTCGGCCCAGCGCTGGGCGCTGGCCGAGGTGGCGGGCAGCCCGCCCACGCCACGCGCCCACCACACAGGTGCGTCAGTGGGATGGGGCTGCAGTGAGAATGAGAGGGGCAGGGCAATGGCTGCGCCGCGCATTGGGCAGGAAGCACCTGCTGCTCCATCCCTGCTCCCAACCACCCCCCAACTGCCACTGTCTCGCAGCATCCAAGCTGGGCGACAAAGTCTTCTTTTTTGGAGGCTACGGCGGCGGTGGCGCCGATCTGGGCGACCTCTGGGTGCTGCACCTCGGAGGCGGGGGCCTGCGGTGGGAGGAGGTGTCGGCGTCGGGGCCTGCACCTCCGCCGCGCTTCGACCACACCGCCACGCTTGTTGCCACCGCCGCCAACAGCCCCTCCCCAGACAAGCTGCTCATCCTGGGCGGCAGGGACAGCACCCAGAACTTCACCGACGCTCATGTGCTGGACCTGGAGAGCATGGCATGGGAGCAGGCGCATGGCATGCCCGCGCTGGGGGGCGAGGTGGGCGTGCAGTGGGGTGTCGCTGGGGCTTGCTGGCTGGCCATGGCGCTGCAGCCAGTGCTGATGAGGCAGCAGACCTGCAAGCTTTGCTGCCGCTGCGGACGCAAAAGTTGATGGGCGTCGCGCCGCTCCTTTGGCCCTGCAGATCTGCAACCACCTGTGCTCCAGTGTGGAGAGCGTGCCCTACCACAAGGTTTTTGCGGGCTTTGGCAAGTGCGACACGCTGCAGTACGGCAACACGATGCAGGTGGGCGGCGGCGTGCAAGGGCCTTCATGAGATTGCCAGAACTGGCATGCCTCCCGACAAACTGATCCCCTGAAACCAACATTGTGAGCAGGTGCTTGATGCTGGCGCCAAGCAGTGGAGCGTGCCTGAGACGGCGGGGCCAGAGCTGCCCCTCGGCCGGGAGGAGACGGCGTGGGTGTGGGATGCCAAGTCTTTCTCTCTGGTGCTCTTTGGCGGGTGGGCCAACCGTTGGCTGGGCGACACCTGGCGTGCCGACGTCAGCACCATCATCGGCCCCGGCTACGCCTGCCTGGGCATCGCCCCCGCCATCGGCCCCGTGGCAGGAGGCACAGAGGTGACCATCACAGGGCTGCGCTTCAGGTGAGGTCGGGGGAGGCTGAGGCAGGGTTCAGACAGGCGCGGCGGGATCGCGTGTTGCCGGGTGTGTGCTACCCATTCCCCGGCTTGCAGCAGTTTGACACAGCGTTGACCGGGCTTGCCTGGGCTGCTGCTGCTTGCAGGGACGGCCAGATCAGGGTGAAGCTCATCTCGCCACGTGGCGAAAACATAGTAGAGGGCACATTTGTCAGCAGGGAGGCGGTGCGCTTCAAGACGCCGGCCCATGAGCAGCACGGCGCGCTGCTCTGTAACGTGTACGTCAGCATTGGCTCAGACAACTGGACAGTCAACCAGCTCAAGTTCCAGGTGGGGGAGGGCATACACGCATGGCTACAAGCAGCAGCCAGTGTGGGCTGTGCAGGCTGGGCATAGCCACACACACACCGCATCCCCAGAAACACACCGCATCCCATGCTCTCCTGCCGCAGTACTTTTCCAACATGCTGCCATCTGCCAGCTTGGCGTACGGCCCTGGCGTGCTGCCACAGGTGCGCTGCATGGCACAGGGAGCCGCCAGCGCTCGGCTCCCCGGTGGCTCACCCCCATGCAGCTCTTGTCAGTCCTGGTCACGACTGGTCCGCATGCCCAACCATCCCCTCTGCCGCGCCTCTGCTGTTCCTGCAGGTGCACTGCGGCATCGAGATGCCTTTCCTGCTGGTGTCTAAGGACACGACCAACCACAAGCGCACCTCCGGCGGCGACGGTTTTGAGATCGCCGTGGAGAGCGAGTCGGGCGCGGTGGTGGGCTCCTCGCGCATCGTGGACCGTGGCACCGGCACCTACGAGTGCTTTTACAGGTCAGGCTGGGCTCTTGGAAGGGCTAGGGGCGAGGCAGCAGAGGAAGAGAGCTGCCTGACTAGACAGGCCCTTCCTTGCTCCGTCTGCCACCAGCAGCCACAGGTCGGCTTGATCTGCTCATCAGCTAGCCGCCCTTCGCTGCAGGGCACCGGCGCCGGGTCGCTACAAGATTCACGTGCGCGGCGCTGGGACGGGCGGCGAGGGCGGCATGGCCCACATTCGCGGCAGCCCCTTCAGCGTGGAGGCCGCTGACCCCTGGCAGCAGCGGGGGCTGGTGGGGGTGGCCCCCGCCAAGCGCGCCGCCGCCACCCTGTCCTCTGTTGGCACCGACCTTGTGCTGTTTGGCGGGGACAAGTCGCTGGCGGCCGTGTGCCACGCACCCGGCGGCGAGGAGCCCTGGCAGTGGTTCCCCACCAGCGAGGCTGACCGCGCCACTGCCCGCAAGGGCCATGCAGCGGCGGGCGTGGCGGGCACCAAGCAGCTGGTGGTGTGTGGCGGTCAGGCGCTGGAGGGAGAGCCTGCAGACCTGGCAGATGTGCGGCTGCTGGTGAGCAACGGCAGCAGCTTTGCAGGCACCAGCTGGCACTGGCAGCCCGCTAGCGCAGCGGTCCAGCTGCACCAGTGGACAGATGGCACAGAGGTGCCCACAGAGCGCAACTCCCACTGTGCCGTGGCATTTGGCAGCACGCTGCTGGTCTTTGGCGGCGAGCACCAGGGGCAGCTGCTGCAGGAGCTGTGCCTGCTGGACTTGTCTAGCAAGGTGGGTGCGGAGCAGCTGCTGCTGTGCGCGTTTTGCATGGTCTGCTGCACACCACCAGCCCTCCCCTTTCCATGTATCTCACCATGCTGCGTCCTGCTGTGCACGGCCCAGCTTTGCTGGGTGGAGCCAGCGGTGGAAGGCACGCTGCCGTCCGCCCGCAAGGGAGCTGCTGCAGCCGCCGCCGGCGACGGCTTTGTGGCGATCTTTGGCGGCTGTGCCTCCAATGAGCAGGGAGAGGACGTGCTGCTCAATGACCTGCACCTAGTGCAGGTGGAAAGCCTGTCTCGCGTGCGCTGCGGGCAGCAGGAGGCCTCGGGCGCGGCGCCGCCGCCGCGGGCAGGCGCCATTCTGCAGGAGTATGGCAGCGGCAGGCTGCTGCTGTACGGCGGGACTGGCGCGGGCGGCAGGCCCCTGGGCGATGCCTGGGTGCTGGATGTGGCCGCCCAGACATGGGAGTGCCTGTATGATGGAGAGCCACAGGTTTGTTGGGTGGGGATGTCGGGGAGCGTGGAGGTGGGATGAGGTGTTGGGAAGGCAGAACCAGATCACCGGCTGCCGAGCATGCTGTGTGGAGGCTGCTTTGCACAGTGTGGTGTCTGTAGCCTCCTGCTGCTGCTGCTGCTGCTGAGATGGGTCCCTTCACCGCCCGCCCCTGCCGCAGACCCCGCTGGTGGCCCTGCACGGCGGCCAGCTGGTGAGCCTGGCCTCTGCCCCTGGCAGCAGCCGCCTGGACGTGGTGCGCAGCCTCAACCTGGAGCATGCCGCCGAGTCGGTGTCCTTCCTCGCCAAGATGCGCCCCGAGGTGGCCTCTGCCGCCAAGGACCTGGAGGCCTGGGTGGCCAAGCAGCAGACGGGGCTGGACCTGGCGGCCAAGGCCGACAGCACAGAGACGCTGCTCAAGGCAGGCTGCCGGCTGCCTGGGTGGTGTGCGGCAGAGCTTGCCACCTGCCTCCCCCAGCATGCTTGCAGATGAGAGTTGCACAGGCTGCTGCACTCGGCGCATGGGCTGCGTGACAGGGCGTCCTTGCACCTCCCACGCCTCACTGCACCCCCAGCTGGCTCCCCTCCCCTCAGGTGATGGACGCACTGTACCTGGTGCGCTCAAAGCGGCGCGACACAGACCTGCTGTTTGACCAGCTCAAGGAGAGCTGCCAGCTGCTGGCGGGGGAGCACCGCGTCAAGGACGCCGCCCGCACCGACAGGCAGCTGGACGACCTGCGGCACCGGTGGGAGGCGGTGAAGAAGGCGGCGCCGCAGGTGGCCCTGCTGCTGCTGCCCGTGCCGCTGGCAGCCCTGCCCCTGCCCCTGCTGATGGATGCCTGGGGTGCCCCCTTTGACAGCGGGCTGTGTCAACCACATGCATGCATGCCGTATGGCTCTGCATGGGCAGCCTGCCTGTGCGACAGATGGGTAGCGGCAGCTTCACGGCTGCCTGTCGCCCTGCCTTGCAGGTGCGCGCCTCCATCAAGGCCGCCCAGGAGGCCGAGTGCGAGCGGGTCAAGGCCGACATGGAGCGGTTCAGCGCCGCCGTGGCGCAGTACGTGGGCAGCATCTACTCCAAGCGCGCCTTCTTCGCCTGGGCCACCGGCGTGGAGGCCGCCTTTTCTGACATCGAAAAGGTGAATGAAGGGGGGCAGCTGGACCGGGAAAGGAGGGCAGCTGGGAGGGTTTTTGCTGCCTGCACACGCTCCTGCCTGCCCACAATAATGCAAGTATTTCACATATTCTATCATTTCACGGCCCCTATCGAACGGCTTGCAGACCTTCAAGGACCTGGAGGCCATGCACGCGGAGCACAGCCGGCTGCACACGCTGGGCAAGCTGTTTGACTGCTCCCAGCTGCTAGAGGCGGCCGCAGCCAGCATCAAGGCAACCGACGAAGAGCTGGCGGCGCTGCGCGCGCTGTGGCAGCAGGCGGCGGCGGCTGAGAAGAAGCTGGGCGACTGGAACCAGACGGTGGGGCAGCCCGTGATGCGCTGGCGGCTGCTGCCTGCTGCCATGCAACATCCATCCTGCACTCACCTGTCAACTGACTTGTCATTCACCCGCGGATGCGGGCCTGCTGGTCTCCCGCCCCGCCCCCGCAGCTGTTCTCCGCCGTGGATGTTGCTGCGCTGGAGGAGGGCGCAAAGGCGCTGGTGAAGGAGGTCAAGGCGCTGCCTGCGGCGGTCAGGGAGCAAGGTGCGCTGGCAGAAGTGTGCGGGGTGGAAGCCTCAGGGGAGGCGCCGCCGCTGCCGCGCACTCATTGTTCCACGCGTGCTGCCTCTCAGTGCCCCTCGCCGTGCCTCAAACCGGTCATCTTTCCGCCTGGCCTGCCCTGCCCGGCTGCAGACTGCTTCCGGGGCCTGGAGGTGTTGGTCAAGAACTACCTGGCCTCTGTGCCGCTCATCGGCGACCTGCGCAGCCCCGCCATGCGCCCCCGCCACTGGCAGGCGCTGCAGGAGGCCACAAAGGTGGGCGGGCATTGCAGCAAGGGCAGGCATGCCTGCCAAGCTTGGGCTGCTGCTCCCCTGCCTCTGGCATTCCCTCCCCAACACACAGTCGAACCAACGCACACACCACTTGCTTGCTTGCTTGTGTGGGCTTAAAGTCTGGTAAAGCAAGAACTAGCTTGCAACATAGACTCCCCGCCGAAACGGGACGGGAACCGGGCGAAAGCAGAGAAAGCAATAAAACAGGGGTGGAGCAAGGCGACATGCAACGCAAGCAGCTGACAGGGCACGCATCGAAACGTGTGTATGACTGGCAAAGTGGCATGGCGCATTGGGGAGAAACGCAACGGTACGGGAGCATGGGCTGGCCAAACGGCAGTGCGGAACGCTAGGTCACTAGAAAAGCAGGGAAAGGCGCACTATGTATGCAATGAGGGCAGCCCCGGCTCGGGGCCGTTGAGAAAGCAGTGGGCGGGAGGGGGGAGGCCCCGGTGTGGGCGGGCCCCATCGAGGGGGGATGGGGCGCGCAAGCGGCCAGATGGGGCGGGGCGCGGGCGGCAGTGGAGTCCTGCGGCTGGGTGGGATATAGGGCAATGAGCGTTGAGCAGTGTGCGATGAGCAATGAGCAATGAGCAGTGAGCAGCCCCTCCCTAAACAAAGTGAAGCGCAG